ATTTTTAGCTGTCGTCAAAATTATTGACACATGACATTCTGATAAATTATAAGAAAAAAAAATAGACATTGACAACATTGTCTGTCCTTGTTCGATGACGTCATCCTTAATATAACATAAAAAACCTATATCTACGTTTATTGATGGTCACCGGGATTCCAAGATCCAGTAAAACTTAAGAATGTCCAAGTTTGGGAAAAGTAGCGAAGCCCTTGTCCGAGCATTAGGCCCTAATCTAAGATCTCGGGGGCCCATGAAACAGTACAACGTCGGTCTTCCATTTGAAAGAATAGCGATAGATGTAGCCGGACCGTTTCCAGAGTCAGAGCATGGTAACAAATACATCTTAGTTATCATGGATTACTTCAGTAAATGGCCAGAAGTTTTCGCTATTCCCAATCAAGAAGCCATCACTGTTGCCCGGGTGCTAGTGGACGAAGTTTTTAGTCGTCATGGTGTGCCACTAGAGTTACATTCAGACTAGGGACGAAACTTCGAATCTGCCATCTTTAAGAAAATTTGTGAGATCATGGGCATTCGTAAGACAAGGACAACACCTTTACATCCACAGTCTGATGGCATGGTAGAGCGATTTAATAAGACCATAGAGGAACACCTGACAAAAGTGGTCGCAAAGAACCAGCGTGATTGGAACAAACACTTGCCTCTGTTTTTAATGGCTTATAGAGCAGCTGTTCACGAGTCAACAGGTGAAAGTCCAGCCAGAGTCGTCTTTGGAAGAGAACTCAGGTTACCTTGCGATCTGATGTTTGGGATACCTGAAGAAGAACGGAGAGAAATCCGAGATTATGCCGACGAAGTAAGGGCACGACTTCTGGGTATCCATGATTTTGCTCGGGACCATATTCAGCTAGCCAGTGACCGGATGAAGACCAGATACGACCTGAAAGCCAATTCAGCCGGATTTCAAGAAGGTGATTTAGTATGGTTGTATAATCCAGCAAAAAAGAAAGGAGTGTCGCCGAAGTTATCTTCAGCATGGGAAGGACCCTACAAAATAATCAAGAGGATCAATGATTTGGTTTATCGAGTTCAACGCAACACCAGGAGTAAGATGAAAGTTGTACATCTGGACAGGTTAACGAAATATCACGGGCGTGAAGTTGATCGGGACGATCAACCTTAAGAGGAGGGCAATGTGATGATTCGCCAGGCTGTCAAGAATCTCTCGGTATTCCCTATTGAGTATTCTAGAATCTAGCGAATTATTCTACTTAATTCGGGAAAATAAGATTATCGTGTGTATTCTAGATTTTGCAGGAATAGATTTAGGGATATATAAAGGCGGCTAGTGCTTTGTAGTTTGAGTAAAAGTTTGACTGTGATACGATTTAAATAGTGATTATTGCGAGTTGTAAGAGTTTAATTGTTGAGTTAGTTATTAAAGCAATTAGTGTCAGAGTGTATTGTTAAGTGGAATAAATTATTGCTGTGTTAATTGGACTTTGATTTTTGGAATAAACGAAACGAACAACGAACCCAACCCTGTCAGGCAATTCAAAGCCGTGACAATACTATGTTTCTTTCTGGTAATCTACATTCAAATTCATGTGCTCACTCGTTTTGGTTATGCATTTTACTCAGCATTTTACTTTTTTTATTTTTGTTTTAATGTGTGTTTTATTTTACTTATTTGACTGATTTGTAATACCTTTATTTTAGTACTTAAGTATTTGGTTTGTCAATGATTATATGTTGTAATTTTTGAAGATAAAGCTTTTTTTGAAATTGAAAATTGAACTTTCTTGGAGCACTTTTTCAAGCAGAATCCAGCTACATTCTGAGTTTTTCTCTATTTGGACCAATTTCGAAATATTGAACAAAGTCCGTTTTTTCTTAATAGGCCACCCCATGCATATATTAATAACTCATTGGATAGCTCTGCTTTTGCTGATTTCAATGATGTAAATTTCGATAGGTTCATCCTTGGGTTTATCTCTAACAGTTTATTTATTTATTGATACATCTTTACAAACACGATAAAGGTAATTACAAGCAAAGGTAAAATTAACAAAAAGAAACAATAAAAATGAACTTAAAACTAAAAAAGAAAAAACACTTAAAAAAATAGATAAAATTTTCCTAATCTAAAAACAAAAACATTACACAATCACAGATCAAGATATTAAACCTAGTAACTGAGAGAGGCTATTATTAAATTTATCAAATGGGATTTCCTCAAGGTTTTCCCGGTTTACGATATTGCACTGCACCTCCATCATTTTATTAAGAGTTTTTCTATTTTAGTTTATATGACTAGTTTTAAAAATATCTAGGCTAAAAATCCTTACGTTAATCAAATTACAATGTTAGTACTTTATATTATGTTGCCTATAACGTATAGTATATGAATATCACAGCTTGTTCATTTCTTCTTTGTACAAGGGATTTTACATGGTTCATTTCTTCTTTGTACAAGGGATTTTACATGGAAACTGTTTAGCATCGCCCTTTATGAGACCACAAACAGGTATGCCCCATTTTTCCTAATATACAGGAATCTGAAGAAACGTTTTTGAACTTTTTCAATGTGAATTATATGACTGAGCCAATGGCATCCAGATTTGAGCAGCATACTCCAAGTGTGGTCTCACTAGAGCATTGTATGTGTGAATTAGTGTTTCAATACGAAGTTCTTCACCATTTCTTAAGATGAAGCCTTGTATGCCTTATTTGATGTATACAGGGTGTTTGGTACATCGATAGGAAGTTTTTATACAGTGATAGTTGGGGTCATTTGGAAGCTGTGTGGCCATATTTACCCTCATGCAAAGTTTCGCCGTTTTTTGAGATATCGCCATTTTTAGATATTTTGAATCCATGTATTTCAACACATAACTTGGGTTAAATATTTTTGTATCAATTATTCGGTTTTTCTTTCCGTATTGTTAAAAAAATTGAGAAAGGTTAAACAATATCTTTCAGGAAGAATTCAAATATTTCCCAAAAATATCGAAAAACGCTGATAGCTCAAAAACGACGAAGTTTTGCATTAGGTTAAGTATGGTCAAACAGCTTCAAAATGACCCCAACTATCACTCATTGAAAACTTCCTATCGATGTACCAAACACCCTGTATATGTAGTGATTGTTAAATTTTAGATTAGACTGAAAAAGACACCCAAATCCTTCACTCCACTTATTCGATCCAAAACCCTACCATTTACACTATAATTGAATTCAATATAGTCGGATTTTCTGGTAATAGACATTACAGAACACTTTTCAATATTCAAATTCATCCTGTTATTCTTAAACCATACACTCACACAATCCATATCACCCTGTAACTGATTTCGATCTTCAGTTGCAGACACCACTCTGAATAACTTCAGTCATCTGCAAATAGTAGGCCAACTGACTGCTTCAAGGAATCAGGCAAGGTATTGATAGAAAAAGTAAAAAGCAAGGGCCCAAGAATACTACCCTGAGGTACCTACTCCCGATGTAGCCCTGTACTTTTCAGAAAATGTTTCTCCTATTTTTACCATTTGGTAACGATCTGATAGATAAAATTGGGGTGATTTTTCTGACAGGCTATATACATCTAGTCATTCATTCTATCAAGCAGTATACTGTGAGAAACCTTATCGAAAGCTTCCTCACAGTCCGTTTATGTATATTACATCAAGCTGGTGCCTCTCTTCAATTGCTTCTGAGGCTTATTCAGAAAATACGCAAATGTTTGATACAGTCGACCTGTCTGCAACAAACCCATGCTGAAAATAAAAAAAACTTACAATAAATAGATTTTCAGTGTTTCAGTAGTAGTAAGTAGTAAATATGCTTTATTGTCCAAGAATACAAAAATCTTATTGACATAGCTAACCTAACTTAAATTAAATTTTGCAACTAAACCTAGAGGCCAGCAAGTCAACAATATCTATCAAATCAAAACCAAAGTAGGCAATAACTCACAGAGACAATAAATACATTCATTTAACGCAACAACATTCCTTGACATAGACAAAGACAAAGACTAGTGGACACAACAACAAAAAAAAAACCTCTATTCAGTAGGTATGTCAGTCAAATTAAGATAAATAAGTAATTAGATAAAATTTAAAACGGTACAGAAATACACAACTGAAAAAATACACAATATGCTACGCTCGTGCTACACAAAGACAGAGATTCAATTCAGAATAGAAATACTACCTATATTACCTACATCACAATTTGGTGGTAAATAAACCGCAGACAAATAAAAAAAGTTATTCTTATTTTTAATTTTTACAAACACACATTCAACATCATCCATGGTGATACTGATAATTCCATGCCTGATATTTTTCTTCAGGGCCAAGACTACACCCCCGCCTCTGGTGTTTCCACTACGATCTCTTCTTATTACATTGTATCTAGGGTCGAATATCTCAGCATCATGTATACCATCACACAGCCACGACTCAGTCAATGCAATCACATCAAAATCTTCAGACGTTACATTTGTGAAAAAATCTTCAGTCTTTGTTCTGAGACGTCTTACATTTTGGTAATATGTATATATATTGTACTCTTTGGTATTAGATAATTGGGTTTTTTCAGTTATATTTGAAACTGTTACTGAATCTGTGTTTTAGGGTCCATTTGTTTGCAGTGGCACCCTCCTCTTCTGGAAAAAAAAAGTTGATCAGATTTACCCGCAGTGCATAACAGTATCTAGATATACTGCCTGATAAGTAACAAGAGTCTGCTGTTTTGACATATTCAGCAGCAGATCTTTTTTCTGAAAAATATCTCAAGAGGGCATTCAGTGCAGTATATTTTTTATTACGAAGTTTTTTGTCATTTCTTTTCTTATTCGCAACCTGCATTTCACATCCTTTTTATGAAAGGACAATAAATTGCAATGCAGTAAAGTCTTACCCAAATGTAATTGGCCGATGGTCTGATAAAAAGGACTTAAAACATTAACTTTAAAGCCGATATCATCTTTATAATGAGTTGTACTGACAAATTAATGTCTTATTTTATAGCCCTTCAGATGAAGAAAGTGGCGAAGAATATGAGGATCCTGAAGAACAAAGCTATGAATTGCCAGTTTCAAAAGCAGTTCCCCAGCAACCTGTTTCATCCCAGGATCTAAAAAGGGCATTTCCCAGTTCCCTGAATGTTGGCGCCAAAACTTCTCCTAAGAAATTCAAACAAGGACCGATAGAGAAAACAACAATACCCACAACTCTCACAAAAAACTTTGAACTTGAAAATTTTAGTGACGATGAAATGTCTTATTACGATTCTGAATTGGAATCTGAAGGGGAATTGCAAGAACTTGGGGGAGACCTTGGATTAAACATGGGAATTAATGATGGAGTTAAAAATGAGGGAGCCAAACAGTCAGGAAATACTACGAATAATCAATCCACTACCAATCAATTATTCACTAGTCCTCAGTTATTGTCAGGGCTTTCCAGTGATAATGTAGGTGTTACGGGACATCCTTCAACATCATCAAAAGATGAGGATGAAGATACTAATGGAGATGGGGCGTCATTTTTTGAGAAACTGGTGGAGCAAGCGGAAGTTCCCACGCCAACACCTTCCATGAAGAATGAGAGTACAGATGAGGACTACGAGATTGACATCAAGGAAAAGCTTAAAGAAATGGGAGAAATCACATTTGCCTCAGTGAAAAAAGGAGATAAGTCAAAAAATAGCGAGTCGGGAACCGAAAATGAAGTGATTATAACAAAAAAATCAGGAGAAGAAGTTACTGTCGTGAGTAAGGGAAACTTGCGTAGAAACATCAGGGAAGTAATGGACGAGACAAAATTGGACGAAACAACTTTGGCGGCTCAAAGACAAGAAGCTGAAAGATTGAAGAGAGTCCAAGAACAGCAGAGAATATTGAGAGAATATCAGAGGCAAGCCCAGCAAGAGAGAATGCAGCAAAAAGTCATGTCTCTTCTGCAAGGAAATGATTATTCTAAACCAGGTGAATGTTGGTTGTTTTATTTTTATGTTAAAATTGGGGTTCACTTTTTTTAAATTTAATATCTGCTTATTTTCTTTTTAGGACCATCAAACCAAACCAGAATAGGAAACACAGTTCTTGTTAAATTGCCTAGTGGGCAAACTAAACCTGTTACTAAAGTGCAAAGACCACCACCATTTGCTGATATGCTTAGGGTAAAGATGCATCTATTTATTTTCATCATATTATTATTTTCATTTTGATTTACATTTGTGATTTGACGGTCTTGCTTTAGCAATTTGATTCGACCCAAAATAAAATAGTTCAGGGTAATTAGCCAATTATGAGTAAACATTTCTTAAAACAATATACAGGGTGAGTTATTAAGCGCGCGGTGGTCCATGTCTCTTATACTAACGGAGATCGAAGAAAAAAATTAATACAAAACTTGTAGATAAACATGAGTACTACATTCCTAAATTATTTTCCAGTATACAGGGTGGCCCAATAAGTAGTGGTGACACAAAGTTGTGCTTTTTTAAATGACTCCCCCTGTATATTTCCACATTTTCGAATTTATACTTTAATTCCAAGTAACTTCTCTTAATTACTTTCTATACCTACCTGCCGCCGTTATCGAGAAAAAAATTAAATTTCCAAAATTTTAGGCAAAAATATTACTTGGAAAAAGATTCGATTTCTCGCTTGTTTAAAATAAGTAAAAAATTTAAATTTGTTGCATAGTTAAACAAAACCCAGAGGAACTACAATCTGTTGCTAAATCTCCGCAATCATATACATTGCGTCGTAAAGGACCTCGCACACCTTATATAGCATTCCAGCGATCGGTCGATTTTTTCCAAATTTTGATATGTTGTAGAGGATTTGATTCTTAAAAACCTTTAAATGGGACAAAATCTTGTAGGTATTACGGTCTTTGAGATATAAGCGTTGAAAGATTAACTTTTTTGCGACTTTTTGTGTGGAGGGTATACGAAATACTGGTTCTACTGGTGTTTATCAGTCAAAATATTGACAGGTTCACATATTTTACGTCAGTAACGAACATAGGCTAAGGCAGGGACCGCACTGGGGTCAATGGTGGCGCCAGTGCGATCCCAGCCTTAGCCCATGTTGACATTTTTGTTAGTGACGTAAAATATGTGAACCTGTCAATATTTTGACTGATAAACACTGGTATTTCGTATACTCTCCACACAAAAAGTCGCAAAAGATCATCTTTCAACGCTCATATCTCAAAGACCGTAATACCTACAAGATTTCGTCCCATTTAAAGGTTGTTAAGAATTAAATCCTCTATAACATATCAAAATTTGGAAAAAATCGACCGATCGCTGGAATCCTATACCGGGTGTCTACGAGATCAGTTTCGCGCTGGCATTTGGTGAGTTTTTTTTCGATGGCAAAGATTTTTGGTATGGAGTGTAGGTTTGAGAAATGTCATCTTTTGACATAAATTTCGATGTTTGGTAACTTATTAGAAAAATGCGACGAGATCCTCCCAAGAAATTTATTGTGAGTGAAGAAATGGAAGTAAATGTGGTAGCTTTTGTGGAAATGAATCCAACTGCATCTACGAAAGAAATAGGTCAAGAACTTCAGATTAACCACGAAACAGCGCGTATGATTTTGAAAAAGTATGGATACAAAATTATAACATAAATAATATAATGAATATGAAATACAACTATTAGTAATATAAATATCGAAAAATATCATCCGATGAGGTTCTCGAAATGCCCACCCTGAGCCGTTCTGCACTGCCTAACTCGAAAAATGTTTTGTGTAGATACATTTTCCAGCATCTCCGGAGTGATACTTTGGAACGCTTCCTCAACTCTGTGCTGCAGAACCTCTAAGGAAGGCGAAGGTGTTACATAAACGCGATCCTTTACATATCCCCAGAGAAAGTAATCAGGTGCCGTGAGATCCGGGGACCGAGGTGGCCACTGAATCGGTCCATTGGTTGCAATCAGTTGATTTCCAAAACGTCTTCTCAAATAGTTCATCACTACGTGAGCGTTATGAGGTGGTGCTCAATCTTGTTGGAAATAAATTTCCCTGTCTATTCTTAGAGGTAAAGCTTCAAGAAATCCCTCTATTTCATTCTCTAGAAACCCTAAATACCGTTCACCAGTTAATCGCCCTTGAAAAAATATCGGCCCCACAATTCTCGTACCAAGTATGCCCGCCCAAACATTGATTCCAAACCTTTCCTGAAAATTTCCCTCTTTCATTCTATGTTGATTTTCCAACGCCCAATATCTGGTGTTTTGCCTGTTGAACATTCCATTATTTGTGAACCGAGACTCGTCTGAGTATAAAATTGAGCCCGTAAGATTATTGTTTTGGTTATACGTGTCTAAAAACCAATTACAAAATGTTAACCTCCTTTCAAAGTCTTCTTCGTAGAGAGCTTGATGAAGCTGGTATTTAAATGTCTTGTATCCATACTTTTTCAAAATCTTACGCGCTGTTTCGTGGTTAATCTGAAGTTCTTGACCTATTTCTCTCGTAGATGCAGTTGGATTCATTTCCACAAAAGCTACCACATTTACTTTCATTTCTTCACTCACAATAAATTTCTCGGGAGGATCTTGAGGCTCTTGTCGCATTTTTCTAATAAGAAATATGATGTACTGTCGAGTAGGGAAGTTGGGACGCCCAGGAAATTCTTGCCTATAAACGCATGCCGCTTCTGATGCATTCTTTCCGCATTGTCCATAAATAATGAGTATATCCACTTGTTCGCTTCTGGTAAACATTATTGTTTCCTTTTTTCAATAGATTATTTTTGCTTTCAAGCTTCTTTTTTACATTAAAATACCGGAGTTGACAAACAATGACAAATAAACTTGAATGTATTGTCAGTGGGCTGACAAGAAAAAAAGACCACCAGCCCCTTTCAGATCGCGTATTTTCATACAGGGGTTTATTTATAAGTAGTTTGATCATTTATAATAATGGATAATAAAAATAAAAAAAATAATTAAAAACTGGCATAAATGAAAAGTTTTAATGCATAATTGGTTTTATTTTGAAAAAGGTAAAAAGCTCTTGTTGTGAAAGTGGGATGATTTCACTGATTTCATTGAGTTATCACGTGAAATGCGATTTTTTCAACTTTGGAAGCTTTTGGAGAATAAGCAAAGCATAACAACATCGCATTTACGTTTTTCTACGATCGTGTGATTCGAAAAAAACAATTTTAAGATAATTCTGTCACTTTTTATTCGAAAATAAATTTTGATCCAGAATTTTAAAATTTCTTCAAAAAGGTTCAAATTTGACGTTTTCATACACATCATGAACCGCAGATCCGAAAAATGCAAAAAAATTCTTGCGATGCTATTCGAAATTAAGAAGTTAAGGTCATTTCCGGTTAAACCGGAAGTTACCAAACATCGAAATTTATGTCAAAAGATGACATTTCTCAAACCTACACTCCATACCAAAAATCTTTGCCATCGAAAAAAAACTCACCAAATGCCAGCGCGAAACTGATCTCGTAGACACCCGGTATAAGGTGTGCGAGGTCCTTTAATGATTAATGAATGATTAATGATTCATCACTCATCAGTATCAAAAATGTGCTAATTGATAAAGTGTCTTTATTCAGTCTTATTTCAAATGGAATGCATAGTTTAGTATCATCACATTGTAATGTTGATGAAATTCTCTTTTTGCGTATTTAAATGTTCCTATATCTTACCGTGAGGGAATGAGAAGCATTTCTTAAAAAAAAAAAAAACATTTTATCTTATCAGTTATTATCAGTCAGAACGAATTTTATCAAATGCTTTGACAGATTTGCAGGAATTTTAATCATTTTAATAAATACAGTTTATTTTGTCAGAAATTATTTTTACCAAAGCGAAGCGAGAATTAACATAATTTTTTACTGGCGATTGAAGAAAATGACTAGCGAGCCGTTAGGCGAGTTTGTCACCTTCAAGAGCCAGTAAAACTGTTACCTGGCGTATATGATGTACAACAATTTATTTGTTACTCATTTGTAAGAGATAAAGGGTCAAATGACAAATTAATACGAAATAAATTTTTAAAATTTATATTTTTTTTCCTTGATTTTTTCTCATACAAGCCTTTGTAGCTGGTATAACTATGAGGCGGACAGATTTGCATTTTGCAATTTTTTCCAGAAATGAATGCTTTGACTACGAAAACGTACGTCGCATTACTGTTTCTTTATTGGTCAGGATTTTTGACATGACATTTTGTCATTTAGTTTATTGACAAAATTAAAGAAAAATATTGCTAAGACATACGTTTAAAAAACCATAGCACACTTTGATTGTTTTTTTTTTTGAAGACCCGATATTATCAATAAAGCTGTAGTTGTAGCTTCATCACCAGAAAGGTCTTCCAGAAGGTACCTACACACAATAATTATCTTGTGATAAAACTGATTTTTTAGAAATCTGTCGATGCATTTGTTAAAATTTATTCTGACTGGTATCAAACTTCGTTAGATAAGATAAAATGTTTTTTTTTTTTTTAAAAGAAATGCTTCTGATTTTGTCAGGATAAGAGATATGTAGAGGAAAATTAACATAGACAGAAAGAAAATTTTATCGGCATGTCAATGTGATGATAATGAAATATGCATCCCATTTAAAATAAGCAGCGAGGTCCTTTACGACGCAATGTATATGATTGCGGAGTTTTAGCAACAGATTGTAGTTCCTCTGGGTTTTGTTCAACTATGCATCAAATTTCAATGTATTGGATAATATTCAGACAAAAACTGTCTGCTATTCTGTCAAATGTGATGGAGCACTGTCTTACTGGAAAGCGTAATCGTCCAAAATCCTGAACTAAATTTCACTTCTGTATCTACAAGAATTATACCGGAAGAGATGCCAAGTGGCTTCTCTCGATTAGGAAAATCTTCTACAAGATTTCTTTTTCTTTCTTGCACATTATTTCGGGCCTTTTTTGGTTTCTAGTTTGGATAGGCTAATTACCCTGTACTAAAAACCAAGACTTAGCAATTTGCCTAGTTGTTGTTTTTTTATTGTCTAGGTATTTAACATTGTCAAGAATACCTATAACTGTTCATTTCCATGTTTCGGCTCTTCAAAACACCCTAAAATGTTAGATTCCATGATATTTCCACCGTGAGTGTAGGAAATAATGAAAGTGAAAATTTGTAAATAATTATTGAGGCAATAATTGAGAATGTCTTGAAAAATATCTGGGTTGGTTTTAAATTAAAAAAATTTTATTATTAGAAAAAACAAATACCTAATTGCATAGACGTCTAACCAAATGTCCTATTTTCTAGATGCCAAAACCAGAATCTCCCCACATCCGGCATCCATATCATGGTCATCCAGCGATGGGGCCAATGGGCCCCATGGGTCCTCTTCTTGTGGGTCCTAGGGGCTATCCAAGGGATATTCGGGCGCCATTCAATAGAAGAGGGCCTGGTGTGAATCTCCCAGCATCTCTTAGTATTGGTCCAAAATCTAAAAAACGTCCTCCAATGATACCGCCTAAACAGCATAGTGATAGTGATAGTGAAAATGAGGACAAAAAACGGTTAATGCAGCATAGCAAAATGCCAATGCCCAGAGCAAGAAAAGGTAAAGCTATACTTATAAATTAATTGTTTTCCAAAGATTAGGTTCATGAAGGTTGAAAATGGCAGGCTCAGGACACGAAGCAATATTTATTTTCTCACCGACGTTTTGTTGAATTTAGCATTTAACTTCATCCGGGAAATTTCAAACTAACAGTGATTTTAAAAATTTGCTTTGTGCAACACATCTCGAACTGTTACACAATCCAAAAACACACATAAATGCACAAAATAATAAATATGGGGGCAAACTCTGGGAGAAAAGCAGCATATATTTCCGATTCCAAGAGCTGAAGGCAAGAGCCATCAACATCTGCAACCACAAAAAACGCAAAGGCTCTTGACTTCAACATGACACAAAGCCTTGCCATGCAGACCCAATTATTAATCTGTGCTGCGCTTACTGTGGCTGTAGCTGCACATGCTGTTTCCAAATTTGGATATGAATCGCCCAGTGTTCGAAAAGTATTGGGTTGAAAACGCTGGCATCAAACTACTCTAAACACAAATAAAAAACTAAACAAGACAGGCATAACAAACTATATACCTATTATATTTAAAATCCTAAAGAACAGATCTAACTGAAAAAATAAATGTATACAGTGTGTTTCATTTAAAATTCGGAACCTCATACACACGCAAAAAAATTGGATCACCCTGATAAATTAAAAGGCTATAAGATGAAAACCTGCTTTAAATGTGGAACTTTTTTTCCTCACTACTAAAATAAACGAGTTAAGTGGGTGGTCAATTTATAACCAATACCCGTGTACATGTATTTATTTCTTTTTCTGGAATGAGCACGTTATTTATTTATTCTATTAATTGTACTTTCACAGGAAAATCATCTGAGAATCAAACAATTGAAGTTTCATCTGACGATGACTGTATAGTAGTATCAGAGTCTGATCAGGACGATGACGAAGAGGAAAGCGACGACCCAGGAAACTCTGGATTGCACACCAATGATGAATTCAATCAACCAGACGAACAGGGGCGAGTTTTAGTTAACGTGGGACACCGTCAAGACGAACCAGACGTATTTGTAGCTCCACAAATTGCAAGAATTATAAAACCGCATCAGATTGGCGGCGTTCGATTTCTATATGATAATCTTATTGAAACTATTAACAGGTACCTAAATCTATAAAAGAATAATATAAGTATTGAAAAAACTCAGGCTTTCTTGCTTCATGTTAATTTCTTCTTTTTTTTAGGTTTGATGTATCCTCAGGTTTTGGATGTATTCTCGCTCACTCGATGGGTTTGGGAAAAACACTCCAAATTGTCACTTTCTCCGATGTTTTTTTGCGACATACTCCTAGCAAAACTATTCTGTGTATTATGCCGATCAACACTTTGCAGAATTGGATGGCGGAGTATAACATGTGGATGCCTACAACAGAGGTGATATATAATTTATATTTTATATTGTCATTTATTTCAAATTAGAGAAAGTTTCAACCATTTCTCTTCATCAGTTCAAATCTGAAATGAGTAATAAATTATCTGAAATTATAACCATTGAATTTATTTTGAAGTGAGAGTGAGATAATTTATCAGCTTCCATTATTACATTGATGTACCTAATAATATTGCTGATGTTTTAATTTTTTTGACATGAAACTGATGACGTAAAGGAGTAGTGCTTATTGTCTTAATAGATCCATCTACCTTTCTATTTACAAATTATTAATTATAAAGAACCTATCTAGTATATACAAGTTGCTACAATGGATTCTAAGTCAACGCTTGACATCAGAACCGCAAGTTAACAACAGAATTTAAGGCACTCCAGAAAAATCAAGATTTTTTGGTTTTGTTTTTTAAAGAAATCAATACTTTCGATCAGACTAACAGAATTTTTAGTTTTCAAAACAAAAAATCCTAGGTTCCTGGGCTATTAATTATATTTAAAACTAAGTGCATCTTTCTAGAATTTCAAAATTATATTACAAAAATCGCCATGAGACATACTATGAGAAGTATTTTTTAAATCTGGCCTGAAAGTCAAAATTTTCAATAAAACTAATAAATTACTTTCGGATTCTTTTTTGAAGGTTTGGTTTTTAAAACGTCCAATTTTGAAATGTTTTTACATAAATTACGTAGAATTGATAAACTAACGGCTAGGTGCTTCTTCGAAATAAATAAACGTAAAAATAGCCTAGTTAGCCATAGAAAAATCAACAGGGCTGAAAAAACCAATAAGTGGGGGGTGCTTGAAGCTTTGTTGACATATTGGTTCTTGGAGAAGTTCAAACCAATAGGAGTACCGCTGGAATTTTCAATGCAAGATAGACAGTAGAAGCTTTTGGAAACTTGTTTCATATTTAAATATCTTAAAAATTAAACATTAAATCCGAATGTAATTTACACATCACCAAGTTTATTCAAAATTTCGACTTCAGGCAAGTTTTAAAAAAATCTCTCGTAATAAAAATAGTTTTTATAGTTTTTCGATTTCACATGAAATGTAATCCTTGTAAGCAATTTTTGTAAAAGTATCTCGAAATTTCAGTAAGATAAATTTCGAATTTTTGGAATGGTCCAGGAATTTCTCTAGATTTTTTTTTTATATTTCTTCATTATAAAATCGGTTTATTTAATAACTGAATTTCAAAATGCCGTTAATCTGATTAAAAATAATGATTTTGAATAAACTAGCACCAAAAAAAAAATAATTTTCTAATGATTCTGTTCAAAGAAAATAATAAGGAAACCATTTGAATAAATGAGTCATTTTTTTAAATCTTTGATAGGAATGTCACTTTTGCCGGTTTGAAATTTTCAAATGACATTTGACAGGTGGAACACACATCATGAGTCAGTTTCAGGTTTTTCTTTTCTGGATCATGCATGACCTGATTCTGGAAAAAAAAATATGAAAAATTTCCCACATTCTGCAGACGTTTCCGCTGGCACTGCTCATGGCGGTACCATTGAAATGAATAAATAAATATACCCAAATACTTTTTAGAATGCGGCAAAAAGTCCATTGAGTTCCCACGGCGAAGTACGGTCTCGGAATTTCAACTTGCATGTCCTAAATGATGGACATAAGACACTAGTAGCACGGCAGAGAGTAATTCACGCTTGGAAATCTCTTGGAGGAGTCCTTTTAATCGGATATGAACAGTTTCGATTGTTGAGCATGAAAAAAAACTCAAAACCAAAGAGGAAGAGTATGGCGGCTCCAGAGTCGCCTGAGGATATCAAGAATAAACCGATTTTTGATGGTAAGGATGTTTTTTTAGATACTTATTAATTTTGTATTAAAAAAAAAAATTCCAGAAATTCATGCTGCTTTAGTTGATCCAGGGCCAGATTTAATAATTTGCGATGAGGGACATCGTATTAAGAATTCGCATGCCTCAATATCGGCTGCTCTTAAGCAAGTGAGAACTAAAAGACGTGTAGTACTTACAGGGTATCCCTTGCAAAATAATTTAACTGAGTATTGGTGCATGGTGGACTTTGTGAGACCCAATTATTTAGGTAATAATTCATACTATTTATGTAAGACTCGAATTTGACAAAAAAAGAATGCAAAGCTGCTGAACAAAAAATTTTTAGCAGTGGCCTCAGTGACAAATTTCCATTTGCCAGTGCCTTCTTTTGGTTGTCTTCAATTACAAGGTATTGATGTTGAAATCATTTTATTTTTTTCAGGATCCAAAACCGAATTTTTGAATATGTTTGAACGTCCAATCATGAACGGCCAATGTATCGATTCTACAGAAGCTGATATTAAGCTAATGCGCTACAGGGCGCATGTTTTACATTCACTACTTGCTGGGTTTGTACAAAGACGGTCTCATAGAGTTTTACAAACTGTTCTACCTCAAAAGGAGGAGTATGTTTTATTGGTAAGATTAACCCCCTTCCAAAGACAACTATACGACAGGTTCATGAATGAAGTTGTCAGAAAGCAAGCCGTACCAAATCCATTGAAAGCATTTGCGGTTTGTTGTAAAATATGGAACCATCCTGACGTTCTTTATAATTTTTTGGTAAAAAAAGCAAGAGGAGATGCGATTGATCTCGATTTGGAGGAAGTGGCCGGTACAGTTAGTGGTAAGTTAAAGTTAAATATTTTTTCCTCACTTTATTAAAAAAATATAAAAATTCAGGAGTATCTCAACCAACTGAAACTAAAGGAAAACGCGGTCCCAAACCAAAAAAAACCGCCAGCTAAGCCCCCTAAAGGCAAACCTGCCGCATCGGTAACACCTTATAACAGTAATACTGAAGCTTCTACTAGCTCCATGCAGCCTCCACCTTTAACTGGTCATGGTTTGCCTAGTTCACAAACTGGAACTACACAATCTCAGTTTGCAAATACAAAAACTAGCGATACAACTAATTATGGGCCTTATACTGATGAATTTAATCAACCAAGAACTTCTTTTGAAGGAATTTCTCAGTTTTTCGATGATCATGTGTCACAGTCGTCATATGATACGCCTTTTGATGAAAACGCGCAATTTACATCGTTTTCAAGCCCAAATAGTAGTTTTCCACAAAATCATAATATAAATAGTTCAAATAGTAATTTCCAACAGCCAATGCCAACAAATCAGAATGCAAAAACTGGTTGCTTGCTCAGTGATATTCAGTCAACAACATCTAACAGTCAGCAGCCACCCTCGAATCAACAAACAAGTCTTTTCAATTTGGACAGTCAAAATACTGTTACTGTTACAAATACGCAGAAAAGCAATATTCCCACTATTCCTAATTTACCTTCTGGAATTTCTATTACACCATTGAAAAATCCTTCAAACACAAATCCACCGCTACAGAAAATGTCTTCAACAGAGGGGTTGAATAATGCACCGATCAAAAGAGATGCTGGTAATAATCAGTATGAGCAGAACTCTCAGATGCGACCAGCAAATTCTCAATTTGGATCTCAGAATCTGAACAATTCCAATAACCAAACGCAACACGGAAGTTTCGGGTATAATCAGAATCTTACTGACCAGAATAATTATTGGGAGACTACTAGAACAGCTGAGCCTAACCCACAAGGTTTGTAATACACTATATTTGATATAAATTATTTATTTTAAATAACTTTAAAAGGCTCAAAATTTCAAATCTAATTAATGCTTAGGAAGTTGAAAAGTGACGACTTTCACAGCCCGTATGATATTCAATATGAAAAGTTTTGTTGGGGCTTCTGAGCTGTGAGCAAAATAAATGGCATTTCAACCTGAGATTTTGCCTAGAACTTTGTTCAGCATTATCAAAGGCGATGCGGCACTGGTCAAAGTGACCAATTCCTGGTACCAGAGATAACTCCTTTGATGATGTTCACCGCATAATAACATCACATTGGGCGTGTGTGTCACCAGATACAAACTTTGTCAAAGAAATACCAGACAGACATTATCTAAGAAAACAGTACCAAGCAGAAAAGATTTGTTCGTGCGCGTGCGATTTGTTTGTGCCATTGTTCCCAAAAAATATATCAATAAGTTGGGTTGTGATGTTAAACAAGATAACTAATGCTACATGTAGGAGCAATTTGATAGCCAGACTTAAATTGATGATTGTTTGTGAACCAATAACAACCTATCTAGAAGAAAACCGAATTTGGATGTTATGTCATGTCTTAATTTTTTCGTCAATCTGTCGTGTTGTGCTTTTTTGTTTCTCCTGGATAATTTGATGCCTATTTTATGTCATTTGTTTTACACTTTAAAAATAACAAACACAAGATCGTAAAAATAACAGACTCAACCTCCAAATTTGCAATCCCAATTTGAAGCTCACAAAAGCCAAGTACTTTGAACAAAGGAAGAGATGAAAATTTGCGGATCAGAATATTCTGGTGATCGAGTCCAAATTTTTATTCAGAAACATGAGAATTTTATCTTTGTCAAAAGTGTTTTGGTAATATTTATTGTGATTTGACAGCAAATTCGATTTTAAATTGTTGTGTATTCAAGCAATTCAAATTGGAATTGGAAATTATACCAATTTGAATTGATTGTGAATGTAGCACTACAAACGAACGTAAAACGAAATCCTTCAATACAAGAGAACATATTCTGTTGGTATTTGTCAACAGTTTAAAACTCGATTTGCGTCTGGTGAACGCAGCCATCGTAAAATGTGTATGTCTAAGAAGTTTTAATCCGTTCATTTGTTATTGTAGATTCCTACTTTGTTCTTTTTAATATTAATTGCACGTATGTTCAATTTTTTTTTTTTTGATAATAACAGTCTTTCAGCTACCCTCAATTCACCATCGCCCTTCCATCCAAATATGGCAAACACAAACAACATGACTGCTTCCCAAAAAAGCGAATCCAGTAACGATTCTAAACCAAAAATAAATATTATAAGCGATATTAAATTACCGCCAGTACGCGGTTTATTCAATATCATAAGGGATATCAAATCAGAGCCCAAAAAGGAGGAGGACGATAAATATGGTGTAAAGCGAGAATTGGAAAAAATTAAAACTGAACTCAAACCTGAGTTGAAGAATGAAGACGAACAAAAACCTCCAGCAATTGAATCGCCTTTGATGAAGTTGGCTGCGTTAGCACCACTAAAAGATTCTAAAGAAGATGTTGGGATACCTTATGATTGGGTAAATTGTGTATTTTTTCCTTATTTTTTTTATATTGATGCTAGATATTTGGTGGATAACTAATAAGATGAATATTATTTTTGATTAATTTTATAAGAAAATAAAATATTAATATTCACTCACATAATAGTATGATAGCAATATATTATACTTAAATATTAATAAATTTGTAGGAACATAATCAAACATATTTTGGTCATATTGAATTATTTTCTATAATCCATATTTTAGTAGAATGCCAGTCAATCAAAATTATGCTTTCTCTGGAGGGCTAATTGGCACAAGCTAAATTTTCAAGTAAATCTTCATTGTATTGAAAACTAATATTTTGGAGATTCTAAAACCGGAGGTTATCCATACTAGACTATGCAAAAGGGCTTCATTTTCATCTTCTCCTTGTAACCAGAGTCTTCACTGTCATCTCAAAAACTGGCTGTGGCAAAACAGTTGTTCAAGTGTGATTGTTTTTACAATCTCTTTGAGCCATACAACTACACGAACCAGCCAGTTCCATTTTTAGTTTCAAAAAGTTTAAGCAAATCTTGGTCTGGTAAAAAGCTCATAAGACACGGAAGCGTAAGGAATCGTCTGTTGGGGGTAGTCTAGATAACACAATCGAAGAGGCCATTAAATCTCTTAAAACATAAGAAAGAGAACATCGGATGTTCGCGAGAATCGCATTTTTAGTTTTTTGGGCCATAAGCACAATGCTTTTTAAAATTTTTGAAAACATATATCTTCGTTACTTGTAGGTACCTTTCGAAATTTGCAGTCATATTATAGTACTCGTTACGTCCTATACCATGCCAATATCTCGTTTTTTGAAAATAGTGCCCTTCTGCAGGGTCTAATTTAGGATTGATTACATTGGGTTTTAGAATCTTCAAAATATGTATTGGTTTTTAATAAATTAACAGTTAAACCTGTGACACTTAGCCCCCCACAGAATTCATTTCTAGAGCGATTTTATCACAAATAGCACCCTATTATTTCGGAGAATGTGTATTTTTCTTTATATTCGCTAATACAAATACTAGGTGTATATACAGAGTGGCAAAAAAGTCGCACATAACACCTGTAACTTTTTAATTACCTCGTATATGAAAAAGTAACCTTAATGAAAGTTGCTAGTAAATTATTTCCCACATTTCTACCTAGACGAATTGTTTCTGTCACTTCTGGTTTGTTTTCTATCCAGACCAACTTTGTTTTTTTCAAATGAAACACCCTGTATTTAATTAAATATTTGGATTCTACATAAAATTCTGAGCAGATTTCATGTGATATACCCTTTACCTAAGTTCACCTGTTTTCTAAATATTGACAGTTGAAAATTGACGTTTTTGCAACTTTGACAGGCTGTAAAACCTAAACGGTTAATTTTAGAGAAAAATCGATCTTAAATTCTTGTCTTAGATTTTCATAAACTATCATTTGACACCAACTTTGAATTTAATCCATGATTGAAAATTCCAATTAAATTTATTCTCCGGTTAAATTCAAAGTTGGTGTCAAATGATAGTTTATGAGAATGTGAGATCGATTTCCCTCTAAAATTAACCGTTCAGGTTTTACAGCCTGTCAAAGTTGCAAAAAAGTCAATTTTCAACTGTCAAAATTTCCAAAACGTGACCTTAGGTATAGGGTATATCACATGAAATCTGCTCAGAATTTTAAGCAGAATCCAAATATGCAATCACATACAGGGTGTTTCATTTGAAAAAACAAGTTCGTCTGGATAGCAAACAAACCAGAAGTGACAGAAACAATTCGTCTAGGTAGAAATGTGAGAAATAATTTACTGAGCAACTTTCATTCAGGTCACTTTTTCGTATGCGAGGTAATTAAAAAGTTACAGGTATTATGCCGGACTTTTTTTTCCATATTTTATGTGTGATATTACTTTCAGGCAATAGATCTACTTAAGGATTACTTACCTGGAAAAATAGAAAATTCCGCTAAGTTTCAAATTCTATTTCGTATAATTGAGGAAAGTTTAGGATTAGGCGATCGATTGTTGGTTTTCAGTCAATCCTTAATAACGTTAGATTTAATCGAACAGTTCCTACAGATGAGCGAAATACCTGGAGACACATGCAAATGGGCCAAGAACACCAGTTATTATAGTTAGTAACAATCTTCATTCATAATTATTGCTTAAAGCTAATTTCTGCTTTCTAGGACTGGATGGTTCTACAGGCGCGCAAGAACGAGAAAAACTGATAAATGAGTTCAACTCAAATCCTAAAATTCATTTGTTCTTAGTCTCGACCCGGGCGGGTTCTTTAGGTATAAACCTAATTGGTGCCAATCGGGTGGTGGTTTTAGATGCCTCATGGAATCCCTGCCACGATACGCAAGCAGTATGTCGCGTTTACCGATATGGACAACGAAAGCCATGCTTTGTTTATCGTCTAGTTGTTGATAATTGCTTAGAAAAGAAAATTTACGATAGACAAGTTAGTAAACAAGGTAAGCTGTTTTAAGTCACTTAGGACCGGTTTGTTAGTGGGCGGTTATTTAGTTCAGCTGTCGGTTAACCAATAATAGGTATAAGTTAACCAACAGCTAAATTAAATAACTGTACACTGATAAACTGATTCTTTAACTAGGATTTTCAATTTTCAAGTTTATTTTTATACACACATATATTTGTTCATTATATTTGGTAATATGTTATTGTAATTTTAATATTCAAGCCAAAAGGCAATCCAGATTTTTTTGGAAATAGTGAACACAAAAATATTACCATACTTAATCTCTTTTACAGATAGGAACACTACACCGAAAAGGCATGATCAAATAATCGTCCACAAACCTATCTCTTTTTTAAGGCCTATTAGCCAAAACAATTGCAGAGAAATCGGACAAAATGAAAAATACAAACGCAACTTATTACAATTGCAGTACATATTAGTAAATTTGGTTCATAAGGAACCTACTACCGGATCAACAAAGTTTATGCCCCTCTTTATTATTGATAATATTTCGGGTTAATATAAAAATCTTGCAGTGCATACGTGTACTATAGTTGTTAGCAGATTTCCACCTTTCGGTAAATACTAATACATAACAACAATTTACCAAAGCGCGTTGCAGCCTAATCATAATTAGTCGGGTTGGAGGATGTGAACTCAAGGGACCTAAAATATGGATAACATAAAAATAACATAAAAGTTAGATGAAAAAATTTGCTATAGGATATTTTTATGCAGTACATAATAAAAAAAAAAAACTAGAAATAAAATAAGAGATTGGTATCTTTTATCTCTATAGATATTTTGTTTTTGTTTGAAGATGCAAGTTAGTGCACGATTGTTGATGGATGTCCGATAGATGGTGATCGAGAATATTTATTTTGATTTTTTGGACATTCCGAAGTTTGCTTTCCAATTTTACTAGGTTTCCAAATATTTTTCTACATTAATTGTAACTAATAAATCCAGCATAATTTAGAAAAAAAAACTCGAAAAAAAAAATAATAAGAAACGGACAATATGTCGTATTCTAATCAAAAAACTATGCACTGATTAAAAAAAGTATGTCTTATTTTTTAAGGTATGTCGGATCGTGTTGTGGACGAATGCAATCCGGACGCCCATTTGACAATCAAAGATGTCAGCACTCTCTGCTTTGATGATAAAAAAGAAGAGGCAGATATAAAGGACTGGTCTTGTTGTAAAGAAAATTATATTGATGTGGTTTTACAAAAAGTCTTGGACTTACATGGCACCACGCTTACCAAGGAACCGTTTCAGCATGAATCTCTGTTAGTTGATAGAAAAGAAAAGCAACTTTCGCAACAGGAAAAGCGCCTGGCTAAAAAAGGTTATGAGAGAGAAAAAAATGCGACCAGGCAACCATCTTATTTGAGCGGTGTTGGCAGAGGTAATTTATACTTTTTTTTTATTCCGAATTTCTGCCATTTTTCATTTTTTATTTTTCAATTTAAGGTATAATTCCAGATTATTTATTCTAGTTCAACTGAGTATTTTTACCAGGTGAAACTTATCCATCTTTTTAGTTCCAGGAATTCAAAAAACTTCAGAAATATCATAAACTCTATCTATAATATTATTATTATAATTAATATTAATAAAATTATTCATTAACCATTTTGTTCGTAGGTCATCGTCCAGTCGCTTCAGTAAGACCAATGCAACAAGGGGGCGAAAGACCATCAAGATGGATACCAGCTGAGCACTGGCAACGTCAAGGTATGACTGCGCAAGAGATGAATTTACCTCTAGATGTAGTCATACCAACTAATCAACCTGAAAAGGGCAATATAGTCTTAAAAGCTGGTCAAAAAGTGCTAGTATTAAAATCGCCCAAAGGTGTTTACATGCAACTAGAAAATGGTAGAATTGTTGCTATAAAAACTGCCATGAAAGTCAAAGGGAAGGCTGAAGATAACTCTGGCGGTGATCTGATGAAGTTGGCCAACAAACTTCCCCTATCAGCATCTCAAGGGAAAATTAATTCTGCGGTATCAGTAACACCTCAAAAGAGACCGCAAAAATCACCCCAAATGCCCTTTATTCCTGGAACGATGAAATGTAGTGTTAAATCTGTGCAAAAGCCAGATCCTAAGTTACTTGCAAAAAATCAAAGTCACAATAAACAGCATCAGAAAATGGGAAAATGGAATCCCGAAATGAAACCTTTGAAGGATTCTGAGCCAATGCCAGGAAGTAGTAGCGAAGACGAACACCCTCCAGCTCCTCCATCTTTTGATACCAATCGTTTACAACCATCCATCGACAATGGCGCCGACGAGTTGGAAAAGAAGATTTCACAGCTTAAGAAAAATATATCAATACAAAGGGTAAGCAGCTTTTGTTGGAACCTTATTTTTAAATCAGTTATATTTTCATTTTACGGCTGAATTTATCATCAACTGATTGAAAAAAGTTAGCACCCAGTTTACAGTCAAAAAAATTCTATATTCAATGGGAAAATAAAACTTTGACAAAAAATAGAGCCCGAGAACTACCAGTAGGTGTCATTGGTAATTATGGATAATTGGCAAATAACCATCAATAATTATCAATTCGCAAAATTTTGATCTTCATTAAAAATGCCCATTCTTGGAACTTATCTGATAATTAACAGATTGGTCCATGTTGATAATCTCACTCTACCTAAGTTATAACCAGTACTAAGGCTGGTAGAGAAGGCAAAATCAACTTATTTTTACATTCAAATACCCAATTTCACAGTAACATCAGCTTATGCAGACTTGATAACTACAATATACAATAAATTTATGTAAAACTATCAAGCTATATACAATAAATGTATGTTTGAGGTGGATTCATACTATCTACTTGATTTTTTTGTACACGCTTTCAGATCTTCGATTTAGGAGATTCTAGTTGCACCATCTTGGCATTTCGATGAAATATTCTTTGCTTCGAGTTTTATCTTATTAAGACAATAATATATCAGCAGTTTTTTGGAAAGGAGAAATTTTCCTGATATTTCACTCTCTGCCCCAGTTGTCGAAGCTTGGTGTTTGAGAGGGAAATGAATCACCTCACCGAAAAAGTTATCTTTAATATTTTAAAAAATATCAAAACACTATTTCTGCATAAAATATTGTCTTCTCGCAAAAATGTCCATATGGGGACAATCTTGGGGGAGATTAAATTTCACTCCGTTCATGTGAAAAGTTCTCAAAATCTTTGCAAATTTTTTAGTAGGTACCAATTATTTTGTTGTTTTTAAATTATTTTTTTATTTATGCAATTTCTTAAGTCGGTAAGAGGTGCTATATTTTAGGTCCATAATAATTTGATTATCTCTAGTTAAGATGGTTAAAACTTAGCGGCAATTCTATTTGTCTGTTGAATCGTGCTCGGGTATCGTAGCTATGATCGATATATTGTTTAAAACTTGGATGGTTGTGTACAACATGTAGAAGCAGCAAGTATATAATTGAACTTACTCTCTAGGTAAGTGGAGGCGTGAAACATCCTCTAAAACCTTCATCTGGGCATTCGTCTGCAACCACACAGCCACAACAAAAACCAACCCAGCAGAAAGAATCTCAAATTCAAATGAAGCCAAAATCAGTACAAGATAAACTTAACAAACAGAACCCAGTCGATTCCATATTAGAACGTCTTGGACAATCGGCGACTAATTTACATAACACTCCATTTCAGGTAAGATCTTTCATTTATTTGTTTTTACTTTGAATTAAACGCAGCCATTAACATCTACGTATGAAAACGAGCAATACCAATAAGCTGCCTAATCGAAAGTTTCCAATCGAATTGAAGAAGACAAAATCCGCTTATGCGCTCATTATGGATTTGTCATTCGTTCACTGAAAGATTTCAATAACATATATGCATTGAAAAATGTTTACTGTGCAGTAGTCAGATCTGTCACTGAATATGCTTGTCCTGTATGGTCTCCCTATTATAAAAAATGGATCGATGAAATTGAGAGAGTCCAAAAAAAGTTTCTGCGTCATGTAGGATATCGACTAAATATTCCAAGAGATGAACTTCAATATAGTGACATATTGGCTCTCTTGGAAATATCGTCACTGGAAAAAAGAAGATTGTATTTTGATCTATACACATTGTTCAGGGTTTTGAACGGTTTAATTGTGTAACCGGCATTGTTGCAACTAATTAATTTTGAGATACCTACAAGACAAACTCGACAAAATACAGTGGCGGCTCGTGACAATCCAAACTGGTGAGGCCCATGGCCCATCAAGTTAACCCAAACAAAATTTTTCAAGTGTTACGCCCAAATTTTGACCCAAAATTTCATTAAAAGAACATCTGGGATATTTTTTTTTGTATATTTCTAATGAAAATTTTCATTTCCTACAGTTGCAAAACAACAGCAGTAGGTATATAATTCTTATTTTATTACAAATATTGAGTTTCAAATTAACAAAATAAATTCCAAAAAACAGTTTTTCAACCCGCAACAGACCAAAATAAAAAGTATGAGCCAATTAACCAATTAAATACTTGTCGCAGCAGCAAGAGATGCAAGATTTCTTATTAAAAAGCCCAAAATTGTGCGCCTCAATGCCTATGAAAATTCGCTATCGTCTCACCTACCGTTGAAGGGTTGTGGTGGGGAGTGCCGTGGCATCGCTTCGGCGTTCTGTGACGCACATGAGGCCAAAATTTTTGGGATTGCTATTTTATTTTAATGCTGTCCGGCAACGATTTGAGCGCCTATAAGGATAAATAGGTAGAAGCGCGCGCTAAATTCAAGAAATAGTATTATATTTTAATGAAAATTCGATGTTTTGATTCTTTTAATGATTGAAAATAGTTGAAAAACGTTAAATATTTAATAAATATTATTTCAAAGCTTTACATCATTATTGTAATTTTTACATGTGAGGCCCGGCCTCAGTTGCTTTATACGACGAGCCGCCACTGACAAAATATAACCTTTGGTGTATCCTCCCATGTAACAAATTATGGTTTTTATTCACCTATATCTAGAATATGCAGAGAAGCAAATAGGCTTCCACCTACTGTTGATTTTTTTAACTCCTCTTTCAATAAGTTTGAGATAGACATTAAGAATTACTTAAGTTTAATGTAAATGAATGTTATTGTAAATGGTCTTTGATCGTTAATAAATTATTATTATTATTATTATTATTATTATTATTATTATTATTATAAATGTTCATAATATTCAGTGTGCAACTCTTGCGTAACTGCGCACTTACAAGCTGTTATCAGCTGGTTCAAACTGGCATATTTCTTGTGGATTTTCTCCATGCTTGTGCAGGCTCATTAGGGCTGGACTTTGTTTATTCTTAGAGCGCGTGAATAAGTCAGCTGCAATAAACTGAAAACCTCGCTGGAAACTAATTTTCAAAATATTTTATTTACAGGAAACCCTAGATAGCATCACTGCAGGTTTCAAGAATCCTGAAAATATGGAAGAATTAGAAGATTCTGATGAGGAAGAAGATGAGGATGACACGCCACCATCTCATATGGAAGATGATATCGAAGATGAAGAGGCTGAGGGAGTTATGTCCGAATCTTCTAGAGATCCTAATAAGCAGGTAAGTTTATTACAAAAAAGTACAGTGAAAGCCTGATTTCTCGAAATGATGGACTCAAAAATTGTCTTCAGGAGTTATATTGGGCGATAGAAAATTGAATAAACAGAGGAAGACTATGTGCTATTCATTATTTAAACAAACAAACAACATATTTATCACTTTATTATGGCGTCGGCCTGGTGCAACGGTGAAGTTCGGAAGGTATTTAAAATCAGATGAACTTCACGCTCACGGGTATTACGCAGCGAAGTTAGATGTTCCACCCTAAATCCTATCTTATCTTCAATGTGATGACAATAGAAAATCCATCCCAATCAACCAAAAAATCTGGCTCATTGGAGTCGTTCAAAATCTCTTAAAGTTACATGTTTTACAATTTTTGAATGAGCATGCAAAGTATCCTCATCACGGCAACTAGGATGATAAAGGTTAACTTTTGGTCACGCTCATACTCGCTCCATGTGCCAAAAGAATGAATTGTAATGCAACCAGAATAAACTAAGTACCTATTTCAATAACTAAACTTAAAGAAAAAATAAATATTATTGAATTGCGAATGAACTGCCGGGTAATGCCAATAGATTAGGCATCCACTTGAAATTGTCAACAGTTTCTCCTCGATATTGTGTCTTGTATTCTTTCTTGAAAGCATAGAGATCCCATTCTTCAAAATTCCTACGGAAGTTGATTCAGTAATACATCTTTGGTTGTACCTCTTACTTCCAACGACTTCTACAGGTGGGCTTTTTCATGAGCTAATACAGTTGTTTCACTAGGCTTGCCGTCTTCTTTTACAGTAACAGTTTGAGTGACTTCTTGTTTTTCAGCATTTTCCTTACGAATAGTCATTTTATTTGCAGTCATCCGTCAGTTTTATAAGTTTCTTGTATCTTGGAAGTTCTTCTACAATGAGACATGTCTCTTTTCCATCACTATTTGTGCTTAGTCATTGAAATTTCGGGGAATTTATCTTCAACTGCAGTAGTTACAATTTCAGTTACTTCTTCATTATTTTTTCCCTTTTTAGCTTTAATAACTATCTTTGTTTGAGTTACTTTCTTTTCAACTCCTTTATCTGTAATTTGTAGTTTCTTGGAGTATTTCTGGAAGTTCTTTTACAGTCTTACAGCCTTTCTTCTCTTTTTTCGGTGATTTTCTCTTCCTCAACAACCCACAATAGTTTGGGGCAACTTTCATTCTTCTCCTACAGTAAAGATTTCTATGGTTTCTTCCTTGTCGCCTTTTCTTTTTTTGGTCACTCTCTTCCTAGTTACCTGTGTCTTGGTTTTACGTCAGCCAGTTGAAGGGGTGATGTTATATTTGCACTTCTAGAAAGGAATTCAATGGGGCAGTGTCCTTTGACTAATTAGCGACTGCATGAGCCGTAAAACTCTGTTAGAAAAACTTGAGATGTATGAATTTAGGGAATCTTCAAATAGTGTGTCATTAGATTAAATAATATATTGTTAGATTAACTAACCATCTCTCTTCTGTTTGCTAATAAGGAGAGATGCTATAGCTGGCTTTCATCTGCATCATGGAAATAATTCGTCACCAGCCATGCTTATTTGTTTAGGCGTGATGCATTTTTTGTATTTTTGTACCTGTACTTTTGGCTTTAAATAATGACTTGTTTTGTTCTGACTTTTCCATATTTTTCAGACTGAAGGTATTGAAAATGAAGTTGAGCAGGAGGCTAGCGACCAAAGTGACGAAGTAACTTATGTGTCTGAACAAACTACAGAACAATATCCGAGTCAACCAGGAGCAACCCAAAAAGATGGTTCTGGAGATTTCAGTGGTTCTGGCTACAGTTATAATTACAACTACAATGTGGCCTCATACCAAGGACCTCCACCACCTCAAGGTAATTTTCGTATTTATTTAAAATATATGGCATTCTGAGTGGTGCAAATAAGACAGGAAATGTCAAAAATATTATTTACTACTGCATCTGTGGTAATATGGCATTGCTAGTACTGTATCTCCAAAATTGCCTTCTTATTGTGGAAAGTTTACAAAATTGTCTAAATTATTGATCTCTCAAAAAATATATGTATACAGGGTGTTCCGAAGCTACTGTGCCAAAAATTAGGGGATGATAGATCTCGCCAAAATAAACGTTTTTTACTTATAAACCCATAGGCGCATGCGCTTCGGTTAGGTGATAATAGTACATTACAGTCCGCGCTGTGGTAGCCACCTTGCTCACGGAGAAACGTGTTTGAATCAGAAACTGAAAACTGGAAACTAATACAAACCCAAGGAATGCTTGCAGTATTTATTAAAAACAAAGATTCACATCAAAAGATGCTCAAAATTACGACCACCCACCTCAATGCATGTGTGAAATATCGACTGCAGGAAACCCTTCCCGAACTGTTAGAAACTGTTCCCCTGTATGCCGGACAAAACATGTGGTAACAACATGACGAAGGTCCACCACATTACTCGTAAGCCGTAAAGGAATATCTCAACGAAACATAATCTGGAAAAAGTGTTTGGTTAGGGCGCAGCTATTGCATGGCCTCCAGGTTCACCAGACCTGACCGAATGCGACTTTTTTTATGATGTCATATGAAAGTGAATGCCACTCCAGTTGAAACAAAGGAATAGTTAGTGGAAAAGATTGTTGCGGCAGCTGCTGAAATTCGCGAAACGCCAGTAATTTTGCAACGTGTTCAGGAGGCTATGTTATAGCGTTGTCAGTGTTGTCACGCATGCATTGAGGCGGGTGGTCGTGATTTTGAGAATCTTCTGATGTGAATCATTGTTTTTAATAAATACTGCAAGCATTTCTGGGATTTCTGTATTATTCAATAACACAGTTTCTGCTTCAAACACGTTTCTTCGTGCGCAACTTAGCTACCACAGCGCGCACTGTAACACACACAAGTGTCGTTTCCTGGTATGTTATGCTTCTTTCTTGTTCATTGTGCTGTATTCTGTCTTTCAAGCTCCAAGTACTTCCTGGTGATTTGGTCATCTGGGTCGGGGGTTTGCGCGGTCCCACGGCCCAAGTAATCCTTGATCATTTCTTTTGTGAGTGTGGTGGAAATGGTACTGTGGTCTGTATACTTTTGGTCCATACCCATTTGTTTCTTCTGGTTTGAAGTTTCTAGCCCCTGCTCAGTCCAGAGCTAGGTCCTTCTATTACAATGCTTTCCCTCGAATTTGTTTTGTAGTCCGTCCCTGGCTGGTGGTTTTGTATATGCATGCAAAAAATAAAATAAAATTTTAAAAAATGTGCCTATTCCTATAATTACATAGTTTAATTATGACCCACATTCGGGCCACCAAATTTCATCATTTGGTTATTTGTTGATCATGGCTCCAACAGGTAAGTTTAGTCCAACTTATTTTTTGTATACCCATATGCCTTCTTTTTGCAGCTCGTACTTTTCTAAAAGCCCTTCGGCGGCTTCTTCCGTCAATAAGAATGTTTCTGATTCTTCTTCTTTCATAGTAATTCATATTCTCTATCTTCCCCTAGAATTATGAGGTCATCCACTAGTTTCCTCTTATATTGAGCTGTCATTCCTCTCCATCCCTCCTTGTTTACTCTATTTAATGTCTTACTCTATTTTTTCATCCTATCTCTATTTTCCTACTCTATAGTTCTGCCTATGTTTTATCTGTACAATTAGTCTTCTTCTTCTTCGTTTTCTGCTTCATTGCTTCCAATTTCCTCTTCAATTTTATCTTCGTCGTCTTCATCCTCATCAACTTTAGATTCTGCGTTTTCAGCTATATCTATCTTATCTGCCCTTTCTTCAATAGGCGCAGCTTCTGTCCATGGATCGTAGTAGGGTAACATCCTACTCACGTGGACCATATCCTTTTTTCTGCTTCCAATCTTTTGTACCTCGTAATTCACTTCTCCCATTTTTCTAATTACTTTGTATGGTCCAAACCATCTTAAGAGTAACTTTTCGCTTCTTCCAACCTTTCTAATTGGTATGAAAACCTTAACTTTGTCTCCAACTACGAAATCTAATTCTCTATGTCGTTCGTCAAAACGTCCCTTATCTTTTCCTTGTCTCTTTTGTATATTTTCTACTGCTATGGCTCTTATTGAGCGTGCCTTTTCTCTAATTTGCAGAGCATCCGTTTCGTTGTCAGCGTCCAACAATGCAGCTTCTGCTGGTAGTGTCGGTTCCCTTGCATAAGTTAACATAAATGGGCTAAATCTCGTTGAGTCCTGTATTGCTGTATTATACGCAAATGTTATAAATGGTAGATAGCTACACGAGTCCGTTTGCTGTGTGTTACAATACATGGATAACATGTCAGCTATTGTCTTATTTAGCCTTTCAGTGAGACCATGACAACAAGGATGGTATGCGGTTGTAAACTGGCTTCTTACTCCCATTATTTTTCCTAATTCCCTTACTAATTCCGATTGAAAGACTTTTACTCTGTCGCTGAGCAGATTTCTTGGCATCCCGTGTATTAAGTATACTTTTTCCAGTAAAAAATTTGCAACTGGTCCGGCTTTTCCATTCGGTAGGGCGGCTGTGATGGCATATCGTGAGGCGTAATCGGTAACTACAACTATCATTGTTTTCCCTTTACTGCTTCTTCTAAATGGGCCTAAAAGATCAATTCCGATTTTGTCGAAAATTGTTCCCACCGGTATTGGTTGTAACATCCCTGGCGTTTTTCTGTAAGGTTGCCCCTTTCTAGCTTGACAATCTGGGGATCCCTTAACATACTTTTCGATGTCCTTTAGCATTCCATCCCAAAAAAAATCTGTTTTTAATTTTGTCCGTTGTTTTGCTCAGTCCCAAGTGTCCACTTGTCGGTGATGCATGTAGCTCCCACATAATTTCTTCTCTCATTGATTTTGGTACTACTAATACTTTTTCTAAGCCGTTTTTTGTCTTATTAATTTTATAGAGTAAGCCTTTTTCAATCCTAAAATTTTTTGCTCTTCTTCTGATGCCAATGTTAATTTCTGGGTCCTCTGGTTTTCTTATAGCTTCGAATATTTGTTTTAGACTTGGGTCTTTTTCCTGTAATGTAGCCGTTTGCACTGATTTTAGTGTAAATGTGGGTAGCTCCTCTTGCTCTTCTTTTTCCTGGGATTCTGGTTGAAGCACTGGATTGCGGGACATACAGTCGGCGTCGCTATGTGTTGATCCTTTTTTATATACAACCGTGTAATCAAATTCTGCAAGTTTTAGTGCCCACCTGGCCAAGCGTCTGTTACTTTCCTTAATGGAGTCCATCCAGCAAAGAGCATGATGGTCAGTGACGATTTTTACTGGTCTTCCGTAAAGTAAGTGTCTCAGATAGCTCAATGCCCACACTACACCTAAGAGTTCTAATTCACTAATTGAATAGTTCTTCTCGCTATTTGAAAGACTTCTGCTTATGTAGGCTATTGGATGTGCTTCTCCCTTGTCGTCTTCTTGTAAAAGTACTGCCCCAATTCCACATGTTGCTGCATCGGTGTGCAAAATGGTATCTTTATTTGGATTGAAATGCTGTAGCACAGGTGCGGAAACCAGTTTTTCTCTAAGAATGTTAAATGCCTTGTTTTGTTCAGAACCCCATTTGAACCCTATGTTCTTTCTTGTAACTTCATGTAGCGGTCTTGCTATTGATGCAAAGTTATGTATAAATTTTCTATAAAAATTACATAATCCTAGAAAGCTCTGTACATCTTTAATTTTCTTTGGCGTCGGGAACCCTTTTATGCAAACTATTTTTTCTTTATCTGATAATATGCCTTGCTCCTTTACTTTGAATCCTAGTATTTTGATTTCTTTTTTCAAATATTCGCATTTGCTTGGTTTTAGAGTAAGGTTAGCTTGTCGCAATCGCTCAAAAACTTTCTTTAGTTTGCTCAAGTGTTCTTCAAATGTTTGTGAGAATATAATGATGTCGTCTAGGTAGATTAGCACTTCCTTCCATTTCAGATCCCAAAAAACTTGGTCTGCTAGTTCTTGGAAAGTGGCTGGAACGTTGCATAATCCAAAACTTAAAACATTAAATTCGTAAGTCCCATGTCCTTGCGCCACGAAGGCAGTGTATTGCTTGGACTTCTCTTCGACTGGAACTTGCCAATATCCGGAAAACATATCGAGTGTGCTGAACCATTTTGCATTGCCCAAGTATGACAAAATGTCATCGATCTGCGGTAGTGGATATGTTGATTTTTTGTTACTGTGTTAACCTTTCTGTAATCTACACAAAATCTTGTTTTTCCATCTTTTTTCTTAACTAGCACTACCGGGCTAGCCCATGGAGAGTGGCAAGGCCGAATTACTTCGCTATCGAGCATTTCCTGGATTTGTTCGTCAATAATCTGTCTTTCTTTTTGTGACACTCTGTATGGGCGGCTCTTTATTGGGCAAGCCTCTCCGACGTCTATTATGTGTTCTGTTAAGTTTGTCTTGCCCATATGTTTTGTAGATTTCGCGAAAACGTCGTTGTATTCCAGAAGGAGTTCTTTGAGTTCATGCCTGTTCTTCTCGTTTGTGATGCTGTCTAACTTATGATCTTCCATTGTTATTTCTTCGCTCTCTTCGTCTTTTTCTGCTTGTAACATGAAATTGTGTGAAAGATTTGTCTCTGATGCTGTTTCTGCCAAAAATGCCATTGTGGTTCCTGCGTATATAGCTACTGGGTTCCTTGTGTTTGATTGTACTTTTAAAATGAGGCTACCTTCATTGGTGTGAATGTGCGTTTTTAGTTCAAGATGATTTTTTGCTAACCAGTCTAAATTATATTTGCATGTATACATAGTATTATCATTAATCTCACTAGGTTTGCCCATAATATCTAATTCCAATGTTTTTAACTCATTCTGAGATACCGTGTAATCTTTTTTTGTACCCAATTTATATGTCTTTTTCTTAGTTTCTGTACCGATTTGCATCAGATGCCTGATTTCTTCTTCCTGCTTTTCTTCTTTAGCTTTTTACCCAGGATTTTCCCTGTAAATATGAATTTGGACCCCTGCATCTTCAAATAGAAAATATATCATCTGTTTAAATCTTGTCCATTCTTTTTCTAATCCCCATCCTTGTCTTGGAATGACTAATTTTTTGATGGATTTATTTTTTGAGATATTGTTCCTCAGTGCTGTAAGACATTTATACATGTTTCTTGGACTTGGCTTCTCCTTCATTGATTCTCTTGTGAATAGGAAAATGACTGATTTTTTTCCTTGTTTTGACATGGATAGCTTCCCAATGGTCCTTTTCTCTCTGTCTTTTGGAATCATATGCCTATATTTTCTCAAAATTGATTTTTTTGATTTGTAGTTTTGGGTTACTCCTACTACTAAAACGGCGTCGTTCGTTAGGACGTCTGTTTCCATATTCTTCTTTCAGGGGACCGTTAACCTGGTCATCTTTTATGTGAATGTGCTCTCTTACAAACTTGTTAAATTCTTGTTCATCTCTTGAAGTATCTAGTTTAAGCTCTCTCGTTTTAGTCTGCTTTTTTGTTGTAACCAGACCTGACATGTTGATTTTTTCATTATTCATTTGTCAGAGGGGCTTTCCCAACGAGAGGTACTTGCACTGGGGAGACTTAATTCCAGAGGGGCTTTTCCAACGAGAGGTACTTGCACTGGTTTAAGTCTGCCTTTGCTGCGGCTTGCAGCGCAATTTATATCAATTTATTGCTGAATTGAAATAAACATCCGATCGAATCGGCAATTAAATTAATAAGGTTGAATACCGGGTCCTCCTTTCCTAAGCAGCTAGTTGACACTATGAAGGTATTTTGTTGTAACATGTAGCAGAAGCGCTACGTTTCGGAAAACCACAAAAAACGACCTTTAGAGGGATGAAAGGGGATGTTCCAGGGAGAAATTTTGTTGGAAAAAGTTAGACCCATAATAAGTAGCCCTTGTCCTACCATAAAACAAATAAAACAGAATTTGTGTCGAGTTTGCGAGGTTCAACCTCTCTTTCCTGGCCTAATATAATATATTCTAGGTTATGCATCACCTAGTTTGATTCTTTAATATACATATCATCTAAGAAGCTCATTTTAAGTCCCAAAGTCTCTTCCTAAATTATATTTTCGTTAGCAGATTCTATCTCGTTGATTAACTACCAAGTATATAACCATAATATGAGCAGCTGTGCCTTTAAACAACTCTTTCCAATATGTATTTCTTCCATTGCCAGTAGCATATATTTCCCCCCTCGCCCTTTCTCAAATCATTTGCTTTTATGGAGCCCTTAACTTTTTAAATTGGCATTATTCCTGAGATCTTTATTAAAGCTGAAACCTAAGGGCTTTCCAACGAAGATTTTTTTGGGATTTGAGAGAGGATTTCTGATACACTAAAAAGTAATTTTCTAAAGTTGAGAGGCTGAGACTTGAGAGGCCATCTTGTCCAGAGTTTATTGGTTTGACAATGACAAAAAAATATTCTTTAACTCTTGTCAATCAGTCTAAAATATTTCAACAAATGCAATTCTTTCTGTCCAGCATCATGGTGCTATGCTAATTAATTGACATTCAATGTGGCAAAACACTAATATTTTCAGTTTTTGTTTTGATATGTCTAATACTCAGTTGATTTTTTTACGATACCACATCATATATCATTTATTATTTAACATATTCACGCTATCTATAAATAACATATTGTTAACACAGAGTGAAATATTTGTCGTAGTCGATCACACCCTGACAATAAACAAGGATAAAATTTTCAAAATACTTATCAGAAATTGAACACCATACTATTACTAGCAAGTGACAGTTTGTTGAAGCAAAAACGAGTCCTTACAGCTTTTTTAATTCCCAAAAATACCACTAACATAACAGTTTCACTTAGTTATGGTTAGTGCTGCTCTTGCAGTTATCAGTTGAGAGGCATACATACAATATCAAGTGGGGCGATGGAAGCCATCGTTTAGGGATCTGAAAGTTCTAACTTTGCAGGATTTGTGACAGAGTACACTTATTCTAAAGCTAACTCACAAAAATAAAACACTAACAGAAAAATCCCTATAATAAATAGACTTCAGATTTATACTTTGCTTTTAACCTTAGGTTCGAATTTTATTTGATTGTGTCGCATTTATTTACAATAAGTGATTGATTGATTAATTAATATCACGGAAATTCACCGTAAGCAGTTAATCTTATAATACATATGTACTTGTATTTTTAATTTAATGTTTTTACCTAAGTGTACCGGGTAATTGTCAATATTTTGCACCCACTCCTATGTCACCTGTTTCAAGAGATACCCAGAAACGTAAAATGTGAAAGTTGTAGGTAACCTCCTCTAGTGTGAATGCCTTTAAGAACAGACTTGATACATATTTCAGTGATAGGCCGTAAAATAGTGTACTGGCAAGTAACATTCCCAGCACGAGGACTAATGACAGTCTACCGGTTTTTCTGCCTACTGTCAAAAACCCCTATAAAAAATAATAATATCAGAAACTTTGCATTGAAGTTAGTTGCAAGTATACACGGTGTGTCACAAAAGTGTGGTTGCTTCGCCAGAAATAACCCTGAAAAACCTAGTATATTTGGAATCAGGTTTGAAAGGCTAATCCAATAGGTCAATAACATATGGAGCGTTCCATTTAAAAAAAATTAACTTTGCTTTGTCACACTTTTCTGAGACACCCTGTATACTTGTAACTAACTTCTTTGATAAATTTCTGATATTACCTACAACTTTCAAATTTGACATTTCTTGGTATCTTTTCAAACAAGTGAGATAGGTGTGGGTGCAGAATATAGACAATCACCCGGTACTCGTCTGTGTATTGATTATTTTTTTGTGACAATAGAGCTGATTTGATTTCTGCTTGATATGTTTAGGTTATGGATACCCTTCCCAGCCCCCACCGTTCGACGGATACACTGGAACCCATTACGGACAACCACAACCTCCATACAATTATGCCTATCAAGCATATCCACCACCTCAAGCACATTATCCTCCACAACCAGGGTTTGAGTACACTACTCAGCCGCCGCATTATCCACCAAATTATCCATATCAGCAATATCCTCCACCACCTCAAGGTATGTACCCTCCGATTCCTAACCCTAATGTTCCTCCTGCGAATTTCCAAGAATATACGCAGTATCCAAATCAACAGTCCTCAACAAATTATTATCAGAGTACATAAAGCTAGTTGTAACAGCAACAAAAACTTATTTTGGCTAAAACCAAAACAAAGTTGATAATAATTATCTTTAGATATCCGTGGGTTTTTTTCATTGTGGGATGAGGACAGCAAATACATGTAAGACATTTTATTTGACCTTTTTTTTTTTAAAAAAAAAAGGTGGCCCATCGAAAACGTACCACAAGGCATTACAGTGTTTGTTCCCCTGACAAACAAAGTTGACGTGCTTTTGGATTTCGTCAAAAGGATCTTTCCCAGCCTGTAATGCCTTGCGGTACGTTTTCGATAGGCCACTGTGTACATGCTGTCTTTATCCCGCCAAATTTATCACAATATTTGGAATTGCATCAAACATTTAAAAATACCTTGCTTCAATTTCTATTTCCTGGTATCACAATAAGACTGTGACCTACGTGCCATATAAGACTAAGTGCCGTTTCACACGACCAATTGCAAAATTACTCACGAATATTTTCAGAATTGTTTCTGCAAGAACTTCGTAATTTTTTTTTGTAGAAACCTTGGTTCTGTATTATTGGCGAGAAAGAAACATCCCAAGAATCAACATGTAAAGACAGCATAATTATTTTAACAGGTCGAATATTTGTTATTCTTAAGATCAACAATTCAATGAGTGGAAGTTAACTCGGTGTTTTCCATAAAATTTTGAGCAGTAGTCTTATTTTATATTCATAATGTATTTCCTTTTTATTAATTATTATATCCTTTACGCTCTCCTCTCTGTTTTATAATCCCTAATTCATTCATAAACCCACACAAACAATTTGTACAAACTCCTTAGTTGTGATATGTTATGCTAGTTATTCACTTTTAGTATTTAAACTGTTTAAATTAAACTTGTATTAATTGACCTATTCTCATCCACAAAAATTTTTACTACAAAAATAAATGTTTGGAATGTATTGTACTTATTCGTTATTGAATAGGTACATACAGATCCAAACTAAAATCTGCTACCCTAAATTTTTCTGTTCACTCTTTGGAATTCTTTTCGAAAGCTATTAAGTGCACAATTTAATTTGGATGAAATTAATGGTTAGGTGTCCACATCCAAATACTAGCTGATATCGGAAATCTGTTGTTGACGATGCATTCGTTGAATGGATAAATAGATTCTAACAACCAATAGTCATGAATGTGGAAACTCCAACCTTACACTTACCACTCAAACTTACGGTACCCGCCGAACGTTTTTTTTTTTTTTCCGTATAAGCTTGATGTGTTACTTATTTAAATATTTAATTATTAAGATAATTATTTATATCTGAAATACAGCTATTTGAATTTTATAAGTTAATGGCAGACATTAATTTATTTCTGCATGTTCAACAATAGATAATTTAAATTCGGACGTTTATGTTTAATTTGAAATGCATGTATTTTTCAATTAGTCTTTAAAATCAGAATATGTAGCAGCAAAATTATGAATGTATTGCAAGATCAAATGTGGATGAGGGTATCTAAACTTAAGCCAAAATTTATTCCCTATGAGAATTTCACAATTTTATTTTCAATAGCAGCAGGTTTATTTTAAATGGTATGCGGGAAGTAACTTGGTACCTGGCCTATGACTGTGATATTTTCCTTTAAGTCATTTTTTTTGACATTTGTGGGTAGGTACGTTACTTTCTGCAAAGTAACAAAAACGGCTGCTACTGACAAAATAATTTAGACTTGTAAATAGAATTTTTTCACGCCCCTTTTTGTCCTGAAAATAGTGATAATTGCAACATGGATATAAAGTGATACTTTTTTTGCACACATGGTGAAACCTTATCAGTATGTACTAAGAAGTGTCTTTAGGTCTGTTCTCACAGCAATCACAAACCAGGCAGAGCGAACTTCATTGGTTGAGAACAGTCCGGGGAACTAGTTTCAACCAATGAAATTCGCTCTGACTGGTTTGTGATTGCTGTGAGAACAGACCCTTTATATTCGAGGTGTCCACATCATTTTTTCTAATACCTTCACAATAATTTACACAAATTAATTTTTTTTTCGCATTTTAAAAAAATTTAATATGTAGCATAATCAAAGTGATATAGATCTAGATATTCCAGAAGAATAATTGAATCTGCAAAAGAAATTAGCCTAGACCTGCTCCCGGAAAAATTTGCAATGCATAAAAGTTATAACATGACCTACTTTTTTGCGCTCTTCAGGAATTACGTACTTTTGTCACTTTGATCTTTTGCCTTTGATATCAACAAAAAAAAAATTGTATTATAGACGATGGTATTAGAAAAAATAATTTTTAATTTTTTTTTTTTTTTAGCCTTTTCTATTTGTTCTAGGTGTAGTGCGAGGGGGATTTCAGTAGTGAAACTGTGTACACTAAATTACCACTTCTGATAGAAATTACCACAAATTACCAATAATTTCCTCCAAATTACCACTTTTTTTCTCTATTACCTCTCATTGCCTCAGGAATTACCACTCAATGCCACTCAAATTACCACTTATTACCACTAATTTCCTTTAAATACCACTAATTACCACTCTCATTACCACTAATTGCCACTGAAATTACCACTAAATACCACAAATCTATTTTAATTTTCAAGTATACCTGATATTTAGAACTCAATAACATGTTGCTAAGTAGGTACATGATAATAATAACACTATGTAAATTTTTATACGTCTTTATGGTATTGAAAAATATAATTGTGTACCTACATTAAAGAGGGGGTGTGACCCTAAAAAACGACATAAGCTACCTAAATCAAGAAAAAAATTCTAAGATCTCTCGTGAAAACCGCAGTCCTATATTCGAAATAGTCTCCGAGAAAATTCCTTATGAAGATCCAGGAGCTTGTGATGTCACAACCGCCGAAATCGGAGTCTTCTGTTTGTTCAGTCGTCAGTGAACCGTACCTATACTTTGAGTGGTTTCAATTCGCCCTAGGAGATAATTTATTTTGTTTTGGGAAAGTTTTATACGTGCTAATACTGTCCCTGATAATCCAGTGTGACATCACAAACACCTATTTGTAACTTTAAACCGTCATAACTCGAAAACGGACCATCGTAGCAAAATGCGGTTTGAATACTTATTCTTAGATTTTTTTGTACTAAAACTTTCATTTTTGGGTCACACCCCCTTTAAGCTGCGTAGGTATTATTGGGGGTATTATTTTAGCGACCTTGCTTCTAAAATAATATGTAATAATTGGGTAGTGGAGAAAACTTCCTAAATATCCTATTTATTACCTTATATTTCGATACCTATAACAAAGTGGCGACAAGAAAAAAATAGTTATTTACATTACAAGTGCGTTTATGAACATAATTACAATAACGAGTGTGAAAGATTCTAATCACACGAGTTTTGTAGTCATGTTTAAACGCACGTGTGATGTACAACTTTTTATCTACAAATGGAAAAATAAGAATTTTTTTTTCAACCATTATCCTTTATTAGTCGTTGTATACCTTCATTTTACCTCTACAGGTTTAATTTTGACATTTGTCAAATCACCAAAAATAGTTGTGTTATGAATTCATAACCTTGTCCATAACACCACTAGTTGTGTTATGAATTCATAACCTAGTCCATAACACAACTAGTTGTGTTATGAGCCTCATGACATAACGCAAATACTGGAAAAATAGTTTTGTAAAAACGTCATAGCCAAACGCTTGTAGATAAAAAAATTATATCAGAGTTCGAAAAAAAATTAGAATAAGTGCATAAAAAAAAAAAAACTTTAGTCATCATTACTTTCTCTAAAAAAACACTTTTTCATTCTTATATTGAAATCAAATCCATGAAAAAACTGTTGTGCAATAAAAAAAATTAATAAGTAAGTAAATTATTTCATAACATTATCTCGACTAGACTTGGGAATATGAAATTTAAGGGATATTAAAAAAAAATAATTCAACATCACTTTCCAGTTTTGACAATAGTTTATCTCACTTGCACCATGAGTTAAACAGAGGTTTAAATTTTAACAAAGGTTTTTTTTTCGTAACTGACTTGCACCGCAAGTTAATCCTTGTTTAAGTAGGTACCTCTAAGCTGCTGTTAAAATAAACCCCCAATTTTGGTGGTTTAAAATCACAGTTAATGATTTTCGGGTCTAGTGCCGTCCAAATAAAAACGGCTTTTATACAGGGTGCCCCACGACGTTTCTGCCAGGTAATAACTAACGGAACGCGTCATCCAATATAATTGAAAATTTGAGGATCTGGGTAACTTTTTGAGCCGCTTCTACCATTTTCGTCCAATTTCACCAGTTTCGCTTCAATTTCGATCAAGTGACGTCATCTTTCGAATTTTAAATGTAACTTATGGTATATTATGGCCTTTTTCGTTAGAAAATTAGATTACAAAATCGGCAATGTCATATTTGTTAAGGCTTTGTTAAAGAAAATGATAAAAAATTATACAATGGAAGATATGATGATGCGTTCCGAAGTTAACATTTGGGACAAACCTCGTGGAACACCCTGTATATATATATATATATTTTTTTTTTTGGGAAAAATTCCATCAAACAGAAACGTTTAAGCTATTGATGCGCAAAATGCATATTTTCCATCAGAAAATTTCAATCAAAATTGAACACCTTTCAAAAATCAACTACGAAAATTCCCTACCAATTTGAGACCAAATAAATTGGTTGATATAATCCACAAGAAAGGGAGGCTGCATTACTCCTAACCTCCTTAAGTACCTATTATTGCTTGAAAAACGACCAATAACTTTCAACGTTGTTAGTAAGAACACGAGTACAAACTCCAAGTTATGGGATCTTGAAATTTAAATTATTCTTTGGTCTTCGATTGCTCGCTCCGCTCGCCAAATCTCAAAGAGAAGATCCTTGGAAATGTAAATCTACCAAAAAACGTAAACGATTGGAACCGAGTTCGGAATCAAGATCAACAGCGACTTCAGAACATTTGGACTTTATTTCGGATTCCATCTAGAAGACGAAAATATGAAAAAAATACGAAATTTTACACGCCTTTGCAGTCAAAATTAATACATACACCTCAAAAGTCTGTAAAGCTCTTCACGAATATTTGCGTATTTGGCTCGGTATTTGACATCCATCTCGGATAGGTGAAAATCTAGAAAATTGAAACTAGAGAAACAGAGAGACGAGAACACATAAACAGCCAAATATTTGTAGCTATTTGCCGAAGGTGTGATGGAGGCCTAATATAACAAGAATGCATTCTCTCTACTTTTTCTTTCAGATTTAGAAACACTGAAGCACAAAACTGGACCTCAAATGAAACGAGGCCTTGAAAGTTTCAAAATGAGTAGTAAAAACGATGCTCATAGATGATGTCGAACCAAGTGTTGAACTATTGCAAGGTTGCCACTTCTCATGAAATGAAACCTCAAATGAAACATTCTTTAGAAAATAAAAGTTGATGTTTCTAACTGACCAATAGGGACTCAGAAGAATATTTTACTTAAAGCTTAGTTGAATAGTTTAGTTGAAGCTCTGTTACTCCTAAATTAAAGCAAATTCAAAGGCATATCATAATTTTATCACTACAGAACTTCGAGTTATTACCTCAAAATTTCCTTAAATTACCCCAAAAATTTCCTTAAATTGCCTTAAATTACCAAAAATTTCCCCGAATTACCACTATATTTCCACTAATTACCATATATTTCCACTCAATACCACTATATTTCCCCTAATTTCCAGTCATTACCACTCATTTCCCATAAAATTTCCACTAATTACCACTATTGTGTACACTAAATTACCACAATGAAATCCCCCTCGGTGTAGTGTGTTAAATATGTCATTAATAATTTAATTATTTCAATTTACTTTGGTTGGTTGCGGTGGGTGGCCCTTGATAAACGCGATTCATTGTCACAATTTTTTTTTATTTTGTAGATATGTTTACTCACTCCTAGTGCAATCTCATAATATTGTTTTTTTTTTTTTTAATTTACGGCATGGCCGCGTTTTTATTGAGATTTTGATTTGATGAAAAAGCACAAAATGATGCCAGTTTAAACAAAAATAATTCTTCCAGGCGATTTGAGAGAACTTCTTTTTGTTGAATCGAATTCAAACTGCAATAGATGATATAATAAAATAATAACATGTTGTTCAAGTTGATGAAAAAGTTTTGATACGTAATAATAATAAGAGTATTTTTCCTTCAAATATCAGAAAATCTAACATTTTCCTGCTAATTTTTTGCTGATGAAGTTTGACTTTTAACTTTTGTATCGGCTGATGGTCATGTGGGCAACGGAAGTAAATGTACTCACAGTCGCTGGGAGCGGTGATGAAAGTACTTTTCTCTTTGGACATTAAATAATACATTCATTCTTGCTCGATATTAAACTGATAATGATACGAATTCTAGACCCCGTGAATTCTAAACTGGAATCCACGGCCTATCGACCAATCAAATTCAAAGCATCTTCAGAATACACGGGCCGCAACAAGACAATACAAAAATAGCATGACTGACGTCTACTGTTAGATCACGAAACTTTCGTTTTCAATCGACTTTTGATAGACGTCATTTCTTACAAAAACTAATGATTTTCTTTCAAATAGTTCAAAGAGAAACTATAGTCTTCTACTCGCAAATAATGGCTGTTATATGCTTGTTGAAGAATATACTATTACTGCCTCCGCTGTAAGTACGCATATATTTTTTGCTATGATCGTGAGATGCTCACAATGCTTTTAATGAAGAAAACTTTAGATGTTTTTATTTATATTTCAATATCTAATAAAGGTTTGCAGAAAAGATATACATAGTGTTTCGTTTGGAGTAAAAGCTACTTCTGCTCCTAATCAAGCATCATATTATTATATCAATAATTAGATGTCTTTTTATATTTTGACCTTTTTTTCAGACCTTTTTTATCTCATAATATTAATTGCTCCATATCAATATGTCTTCTTCAAACCTTCATCAACTAGCTGTTTAATGGCCGTTTGCACCGACCATTTCAAGGGAGGTTTAACGATAATCAACACTCAAAGTGACACTTTTACATGTGAAAATGTCACTTTAAGCGTTGATTATCTTTAAACCTCTCTCAAAATGGTCGGTGCAAACGGCCATAAGCTACGTGTTCTACTTTGTTTTGTTTTTATGGTTGCCTATTGATAGAGCAAACACAAAAATTGTAAATAGGCTAGATCTGACTTGCATCAACAACCAGCTGCCGGCACGACCGATTCACCATCAATAGGGTATGCAGCCGCTAACAAGCATTATAAAACTCTTTATTTTAATATGATAACAAATATAGTAGCTTAAAACTATTTTTGGTGATTGATCAAATGTATTGTTCATCAACATGAACTGCACGTTTGTAAAATCTCATGTACACTCCTTGATTGAAAAATCATCATAGGCGTTTCTTGGGCTTTCAGTAAAAGAGAATTGCGAACTTTATCACCTTGAATATTCTAACCAAAACATGCTTATATAAATTTTCTATGAAACCGGCTAAAATGGGTGTATTTTATTTTATTTTTTTCATACCTACACACACTGTTTTTGTAGTTTGAATTCAATAATTAGAAAAAAAAAAGAATTTCTATTGAAAAGCTGAAAGAATAGAATGTTATGTTATTTTATTTATTTTAAATTGTGTCTTTTTTTGGTGAAACAAAATCCCAAGAAATGTCACACCCTAAATAAATGGAATATATGTGGTTTCAGAATGTTCTTAGATTTTATCGAGATTTCCTTTACATACGACATATTGTTGAAGTTATTTAGTATCCAATAGGTTAGTTCTCACACATCCACCAACCTTTAGGATCCTTTAGAGGTTTCCGACTGTTCAAAACCCCACATGTTGCTGATAGTTTGCTGAATGTGCAAAAAGTTTGCAAGTGAATGTCACAGGTTTAGGCAAATAAGTGGTTCGAAAACTATCAGCAACATGCTGCAAATTCTCTTTAAGAACAATCCTATAAGGTTTGTAGATTTGAAATAACATTTCGCATAGCTTCATTATATGTGTGCCCATCCTAAATGTAATACTATTTTTGATTAATTAGCATAGGGATAAAAAAATATAATTTAAATTTTTCTTAAGTGTAGTTTCGTATACATAATACTTTTTACACTAAGCATTTATAAATAAGTAAGAAAGTATAATAGTTGTTATACGGCTGAAAATGGGTTGTCTAAATAGATGATTAGCTAAGTAAGTTAATGTTGTTTTATTCTTGATACCTCTTTGTATTCAGGAATTTTGTCAGTATCTTTGATTCATTTTTTCAGAGCTCTTTGAAAAATAGTAACCTAGAAGTATTTGACACGCCAGAAAAATCCACAATGTAGAATTTTTAAAGGGGGTGTGGCCCTAAAAAACGACTTAAGTTACTTAAATCAGGAAAAAAATTCTAAGATCTATCGTGAAAACCGCAAATAGTCTCCGAGAAAATTTCTTTTGAAGATAAATTATGCAGGAGCTTGTGATGTCACAACCGCCGAAATCGCAGTCTTATGTTTGTTCAGTCGTCAGTGAACCGTAACCTATGCTTCGAGTTGTTGCACTTCGCTCTGGGAGATAATTGTCTTTTGTTTTGGAAAATTCTTACACGTCTTACTACTGTCCCTGATAATCCAGTGTGACGTCACAAACGCCTAGTTGTAACTTTAAACCGCTCTAACTCGAAAACGGACCATCGTAGCAAGATGCGGTTTAAATATTTATTCTTAGATTTTTTTGCACTAAAACTTTCATTTTTGGGTCACACCCCCTTTAAGAATTATAATTAGGGTAATGGGTCTCAATCAAAGAACGCTCCCATACACTTTTAAAAAAGCGCAGGGACGATACGATCAACTGCAACTTATCCAAGGAACTGCTAAGCTACTCAGATAAAGCTGCACCGAGCCAGAAACTGTTGTTGACCAGGAAAAGGCAAAGCCTGATAATGGGTATCTTGACTGGCCATTGCCAGTTGAACAAACATTTGTTCAGCTTGCATCTTAGCACCACACCCTTTTGTAGGGCTTGTAATGGAGAAGAAGCTATGATGGAGCACATACTTTGTGACTGCACTGCTCTTTCGCCAATACGCAGAGCCATAATAGGCCAAGCATACCCATCCCAAGAAGAGATCAGAGGTACCGCCCTCGGCGACGTCATCGTTAAATCGCTAGTCTGGATGACGAGCTAAGGGTGACCTCTCCTCTTGTGGAGGCGCACAATAGGCCTACTAAGCCAGACTTACAGATACACAGACAGATTGTTTCAATTAAATTGACTCCTGACTTACAAACTACGCGCTTTATATGCAGAAACATATAATCGAGCAGTCTCTAGAATCATGTGAATGCGTCTCCGCACCAATGTAATTGATGCGTATCACTGTCTGCCCCTCAAATGAACGACCCTACCTTATTCTTGTGATAAGCAATTATGTAACAATTATGTATTTCAGAAAAAGTGAATTTATTCTCAGAACACGTCAAGTATATTTCAATAATATACTTGTTTCAATGTACTAATTTTATTTTAGAAAACATCATATTGATCTGGCATCCAAATCCGAAGTTGTTTTGTTCGGTACAAACTTTTCCATTTTTATTTTTTTTTATTTTCCTTTGGTCGGTTAACTTTAACTTAACCTAAGTATTACAAACATAATTTTCTAAATTTTATAACTTTAAAAAAGCCTATGTGAAACTACAAAACAATAAACCCAACGAATAAGGTAATAGTAGTAGCCAAAATGCTTTATAATATTTTGTTATTATTAAAGACAGTCTAATTCGGCTGAAAACGATTTGCTAGTCCAGCTGATGTAGCCAAAAACCAATATTGTCCATAGTTGGTGCGAAGTGCGATGGGAATGTACTTGGAAGGAATATTTTAGTCTGGTGTGTCAAGAGGGAACGTGAAGTCCGATTTTACTTGTGAGTATAGTATTTGAAACATTGTGACCTCTCTGGCATACGACGAACCTGAAGGGATGTAGTTTGAAAAGAGTTTTCCGATCTAGAGTAATTTATGTTTTCGACTGTGTGTGTTTAAAGGCTATGTAGGTACCTCAAAAAGTTGGGCTGCATCCTTTCAATAGCCAGTACATAGACCTTAGATTTATAAATATTATAAGTGGGGCCACACGCAAGAACAATAATCCAAATGTGGACGCATCAGGAAACAATAGGGATGGAATATTCAGAGAGTCGTTAGTGCAGCGTTTGATAAAGCCGAATATTTGAAGTTGCTCTATGAAACTATTATATAGCAACTGCTTTGTTGTTTGGTTAAGTTGATGTGAGCATCTCTTTATTTCACCCAACATTGGTACAATCTTCCCTGTTGCAATCTCAATATGTTTGTCCCATGTCAGTTTTTCAGAGATAAGTAAACCTAGGTATTTATATTCACACACTTTTTCAAGAGCTAGTTCATTGATTTTTATGTTGGGGTTACATGGTGCTTTCCCTGTTTGCTCAATTACCATATAAACTGTTTTTTGAGCGTTTACGGAGAGTTTGTTATAGCACGGCCATTTAAAATATTGGTTCAAGTCACTATTAACAAGTTCTTCAAGCTGCTTTTCACTATCACCCGAGTAAACCAATACAGTGTCATGAGCAAATTTAAAATAATCTGCTTTCAGGTTTGCATGTTTCAAGCTATGTACATAGAGCAAATACAGTAGTGGCCCCAATACCGAGCCTTGGGCGATGCCGACGTTCAGATCAAGTTTTTCACTACTCTCATTATTTATTGTAGTACAGTGCTTTCTACCAGTCGAATAAGATTTAAGCAAGTTATAGCATAGGTACTCCACTAAATCCCATTTTATTCAATTTGTTCATCATTAGCTCTATATCAACTGTGTCGAATGCTTTTTGGAGATCAACAAATACTGTTATTACATATTTTTTTTTGTTTAATTCTTTGGTAATATATTCTTACATATCCACTACTGCCCCTTGTGTACTACTCTTGCTTTGGAACCCATATTGTTGATTATCAAACTCAAATTTTGTTTCAATAAATTTTACTAGTCTTGTCTTAATGATTCTTTCCAATACTTTAGATAAGGTGCTGAGTAATGAAATAGGCCTGTAATTGTTCACATCATCATGTAATCCTTTTTTAAATATTTGGATTATTTTAGCTTCTTTCAGCTCTTGGATATTTCTCTGTTTGCAGGACTTTATTAGTGAGCTCTACCATTGTTGGTCCGATGATGTTGATAAGATAAGAGTTTGCAGATCTTTTTTTACTATGCCATCAATGCCTGGGGCACAGTGGTTGTTTAATGAGTGGATTGTTTCTTTTAATTCTATAATTGTTGTTGGCTCCAAAACAATGCCATCTGCAACCTCTTCTTCTTCAAAATTGAAATTTAAATCTTGTTTTATTTTGCCAGATAAAGTTTCTTCAATGCCAGAAAAATGGTTATTGAACTCTTTAGCTATTTCTTTGTCATCTTTAATTGTTTTTCCATCTGCACTATTTTATTAATTTTTGTTTTTTTGTTTGTATTGGTATTGATTATTTCATTTAAAACCCCCCAAGTCTTCTTAGAGTTGCCCTTTGCTTCAATAATTTTTTTTTCTGCATACTGTTTCTGGAGGTTACTTTGTGGTCTGATATATCACTGTCCTCTAGTTCATTGTTCAATGGGGCAAGTTAAATTTTTGTTTGTTATTATGTGGTCTAAGATAGATGCTGTAGTGCTAGTCTTTCTAGTTGCATTCTGCGGTAGTATTACATTTTGGAAATTAAAGCCATTCATTTTTATTATGTTTTTATAATTATTGATACTATGTGATTGCTTTAATAAGTCCAAGTTCAGATCTCCTATAATAATGCATGAACTTTTTTGTTGCTCCGTCAGTTTGTTAAGTTCATTAGCAAAAAGTTCACACTTACTTTGTGATGGTCTATATATAGCTATGACAGAAAGCTTTTGTTTGGGCAGATAAATAGATACAATATTACAGTCCTCAATTTTCACTTTCACATACTTATTATTTTGCACATAATTTAGTTCCTCTCTTACGTATATGCTACATCCTCCTCCACGTACGTGTAAAGTGATTTAGGAACAACCGATGATAGGTAATGTGTGTAAGTTTTTGGCTGTCAAGAAAGAAGGAACACTCCCAAATCTTTTATTCGAGGGTGTTTTATGTTAAACTTGATGGATGGAATTTCTTTCACTGGCTGAACATATTAATTCACATTGTTTAATATTTTGTTCCATCCATTGAAATCGCACCATTGAGATAAGCTATCTAAATCAGATAGAAGTTTGGGTTAGTTGTTGCACTGTAGATTTTCATATACAATTTTAGATCATCGGTCAAGTAAGAAAAATGCGAACATTAAACAGAATGCACTATTTAAGTAGGTACCTACATAAATATTGCTGAGTAGGGGTGCTAGATGTAAACCGTTTACGCTCTCGACAGGTTTCGTGAAATCTGTATAAATTGCGACAACTGAATGAACCTTGGCAACGTATGAAGTACCTAGCAGAGGAGAAAACGAAAACCTATACTATACGACGCGACGGCGACGGGTCCCCGACGTGGTGCATTGCGAAAATTGCGGTTACCCTGACACGACGACCCGCGTATATGTATATTTAATCGCGCCGTAGTCAGGAGGGTTTTGCCCACATTGCTCCCACACAGGTTCATTCAGTTATCGCACTTTATATCGCATGCACATGGGACCAATGAATTTATGGGAAAATCCGTAAATGTGAGCAATTTCAACTCAGTGTTCAGCGGCGGGTAAGAAATTCAAATTGCTGGTTGATGAAGCAATCCTTCAAACCAGCAGACAAATAGTCACAGACTAAACATTCGAATATAGGTACTCAAGATACTGATCTCACTTATATTAGTACTACGAATGTAGGTAATGGCAGTCAACCTGAAACTGGTTTAATACCTCGAAGCCAATAAGCACATCTTTTGACAAACAGTGTAGGTTTCGTTTAGAGTATAAAGATTTAGGAATCTGCTGACGTACGTCAGTCATATTTCGAACACTCTCGAAAAACATGGCGAATCCAGGATCATTGGATATCTCCAAGGCTTTTGATCAGGTGTGCCACAACACTGAAAAAAAAAATAATTTGGTCCAAAGAAAAATGGAGTTCCCCTAAATAAATATTTGGTTGATAATGGACAAACAAATATTTGTTTAAAAAAAAATCTGAATTTGTTTGACCGTTTCCATTTCGTTTGCTTGAATTAAATTATTCTTAGTTTAGCTTAATATCAATCATTTTTACAAAATAAATAAATATTTAGTTCTAGTAAATAAATCATGCATTAGTTAGCTCATAGCAAATATTTAAATTAAATAAATCTTTATTTAATGTAAATAAAACAAGTATTTGTTTCAACCTCTTTTATTTTGAACCAAATAAACAAATTGTTCCACTTAAAGCTTCATTTGTTCAATCTAATTATGTTTTTATTCTAGTTAAATCAATAAATTATTGTGAATCTGCACAGGAGGGTCGTTCTCATTCAGAGGTTCATCGTTATTCTCTTTTCCTGTCCCATCATCAATGTTTGGAATCTGATTCACTTCGATGGCACTTTTGAAAATTTTTGCAGATGGTTCGTCTGATGCTCAGTTTTTGTGGTGGCAAGTATCGTACATTGAATTAAATCCGAGGTCTTACATTGGAGCAACTCGATATCTGTCGAACGGAAAAAATTGCTGGTTGCTCTAATGTGAGACCTCTAATTTAAAAAAATGTAAAATACTTGCGTCCAATATTATTGCGAATTACCTATCGCTTGTTGCGTCAGTGTGAGAGGATGTTTGTCTGGTCCAGGTAGAAATAAGTCTTCAATAAAAATTATATCGACCAAGGCGACGTATTTTTTTGTTCCTGGAGACACCATCTTGCTGAAATTTTTTGCATGATTTGGAATTAAACCTATTATGTAGGTATTATAATTTCAACTTACTGTGTATTAAAGACCACAGATATTGCACACCCACTTCTGCCAAAAGATCTTCCATCTTGCGGAAACCACTCCGAAAAATAAAAATTCAAAGTAACACCATGCGACGCGTGCCAAACCAACAACAGGAAATAGCGAGTAGTGATCACTGACCTAAAAAATAAATGGATAAACAATTCATACGGCTTGATTGGCAAAATTTGTGCGAAAATTTGGGGTCAATATTCTACAAACAAATGTTCAACGGAACAGCGTAACGCCTGCGCAGTGTCTTATCTTTCGAATAACTGTTCTAAATTTTGAAATTCCTTCATTTTCATTGGCCAGATTTTGTGCACGCACAATACATGTATCTAACGCGCACGCTCACAGCTGTCCCAGTCAGTTGTTTTTGTTTAGATTTTGACCTCGTAAATTAGCAGCATTAGAAGCGTTCTTTGTTTATCCATTTATTTTTGAGATCAGTGGCAGTGATGCACACAGCACAGTATTCGGAACTTGAGCATGCGCATAAATTGCCAAATGTCTACAGAGATCCCAGTTATTTGAATTTTGGTCATGTTTATTTTGTAAAAATTCCAGAATATTTAATTTAAAGTAGCTGTTATTTCGTTTAAAAAATCTGAATATATTAGATTTATGGCGTTCGTTCCAAATATATATTTATTTAATAATGTAACTTGTATCATTTTAAGAAATCAAACAAATAATTTGAAAAAACAAATACACAGATTTATTTAACCCGTCATTACACGCGCCAAAAAACTTACGTCATTAAACGCGTTCGGTCAAAACGACCGATTGCCCAAAAGTTTATATAAATTATCAGCTTTTTTCGCGGAGACGATCCCAAACTTATCCTGAACGCTAAGGCATGACCTTCGCAGGTTTACTAATCAATAGAGACATGAAACTTTCAAATATTACCTGCGTAAGTCATGCCTTAGCGTTCAGGATACGTTTGGGATCGTTTCCGCGAAAAAAGTGTACAAGCACTATAATTCCTAGAATTCATAATCATTACGAAGGGAATTATATTATGCAGTACAGTTACCGTATTATCGATAGCTAAAAGTACTCCCAATATCAGAAAATGCCAATTTTGAACACAAATATTTTAGATACTCAGGCTCATGCGCCTAGTAAAAAGCACCGATTATGAAAACAACGAACTATACTTCAACCAAAAACCAAAATATTTTTGGGCCAATGGGAAAACCTGCATCAGGCATTCCTGGATGGACAAAACTGCCACCCTTGTACCAGTGACGTAATTACTAATTTTATCATTGGTCGGTCTTTTTGACCGACACGCGTGTACTCCCGGGTTAAACCAAATACATTGTCGTTGGTTTAACTAATCATTATTTGGGTGAAATAAAGAAAAATCAAATAAATATTTATTAGGCAAATTTTTCACTAATTTTTTCAGTGAAGGTTTCCTCATCAGGGAACTTCCATCGTATGGTCTCCCGAACGAATTTTGCCATTGGCTGGGGAGATTTTTGGAAGGCAGGTCACTGCATATTGTGCTCGATGGTGTGTCATCTGATACACTGCCTATAAATGCCGGCGTTCCCCAAGGTTCAGTTCTGTCCGCAACACTGTTCATCATTTTTATTAATGATTTGTTAATATGACATTCAGCTTTGTGGACGATTGATGGCATCTTTCTCTTCTGACAATCCGCTTACTGCAGCCACTTCCACACGCCTCACCCGAGAGCAGATTCATTTTATCAGTCATCTTGACATTACCAACTGGGGCTTTAGCAACCTAGTCAAATTCGATGCTGCGAAAACTCGAGCAACAGTATTCTCAAATGAGAAATCTTCTGCCGGTGATAACCCAGTTTTAAGGATGTCCGGACAATACCTTTCCATCAATCCTCAGTATCTTTTCTTGGGGTGACTGCATCGACCAACTTGTCTTTGCATGACCGTGTATCTTCGATCGCCAATAAAACCGCTTCTCAAAAATATTTTTTTTTGTTTCGTGCAAAAAACTGTTTATAAGGCTCAAATCAGAGCATGTATCATGTATGAAATACTGTTCCGACATCTGGAGACTGAAGTGATGCTCCCAAGCATTCGTTGGCTCTATTAGATGCAGTACAAAGCAGAGCAATAAAAATGATCGATAATCCAACTCTCACCGATTCATCGCAATCCCTCGAATATTGGTGCAAAGTGGCCGACTTGTCGTTATTCCATGGCTATTATGGGAGATGTTCTGACGATCTGGCCTACCTCATTCTAGCTAGGAAATGTTATTTAAGAACCAGAAGAATCCCACAGGCATCCCTTCCATATATGATAGGCAGCTAGGAAATACTAGGTATAGGTACTTCATTCATACATATAAAAAACTAATTTGCATTTTATAACTATTTATTGGCCATAAACAGGAACTGAAACCCAGCAGTGCGTAGGGGAGAAGACGGGTGGGGTGTACTAGCCCATTGCTCTACTTATTTATTTAAAATTAGGAACCCACTTTTGACATGAATTGGATCCAAATATATTGCAAGCTAGTTTTTTGAAAATTATTTTAGTAAAAAATTACAATGAATGGTATCTGCTACTATACTTGCTAGTATGAGCAAATAAATCTGATATGAAATGATTCACAAGCGTTTGCCGTACGAGTGTGATGATCGTTGGTCCATATATGGACAAAAATTTAGTGAATATCTGCTATTTCTTGGACCTGGCCGAATAATAAATTTCATAATAATTTCAATGTTCACATTTAGAAATACTTAGCTCAATAATTATTTTGCCGCATAAGTTTAATTTACGATTTTTTGCGTTTTATTGGCCAAACTCTCCATGACAACGTTTGTCAAAAGGCGCCTTTATTGTTTGTTTTCTTATAGCTTTCTAGTTCAGCTTTACAGCACAAAAAAATTTTGGTATAGTGTGTTATACAAAATATAATCATATTTTCTTATTTATGTCTAGTAATTTGTTAACTCTGACAAAATGGTTTCCTTTGTCGATTGTTGATTATGAAGCCACTTTCGTCGCTTGCAAACAGTTGCGAATGGATTGTTTCAAGTTAACTGGAAACCTAGTTAAATTTATTGAAGTACTAAATGAAGTACAGCATAGAAATACTAACTTTTCAGCAGTTATTCAGGTTAGAATTTTCTATTTCAGGGTTAACTTTTGTGAAAACGTGTATAATATATGGGGTCACCTGAATCAGGTAAAAATAAAGCAATTCAATAAAATTTATTACTGTCATAAAATGTATTGAAAATATTGAAATCTACTAAATTTCTATTCTATCAAGCTTTTTCCTGCGGTTGCACTGGATATTTTATATTTTTGAATTGATTGATTCCGTTCACTGCAAATTGTAGAATGTTTATTAAAAGGATACGTGTCAGTGATATGACGATTTGCCAGTTTAAAATCATTCTTAGCTTGCGCAAGTAAAATATACCAACAACTGAAATTAACGTTCTAGTTTAATGATCTAGTATGCCTTTTGATTAAATGATCATTTATTTAATTTGTAAATTTGCCTAATATTTTTATATGAAAAAACTATTACCTATACCTAGAGCAACTTGTGGGCAGGGAGATTAAAAAAAAAAACTTCAAGATTTGCAAGACTCCACGTTAGCTTTGATGCCGCTCTAAATAAAAACATAAAAAACCGTTGTAAGAAATGTTCCAAACACAAAGATAAAACGGTTGCAATCTCGGTTGCAATAGACTTATGTCTGAAACAGATCCAAATGTGTCCTTGAATGGAATATCGGAGAGAACAAAATCTTTCGTTAAAGAAAATACTAATTTTTTTTAAGCAACCCTTTACAAAATTATATTGTATGTACTTATTTTTTTAGGATATGGACCAAATTTCAATGGAATTGGATACCATGGAAAGAAAATTCACAAAATGTTTTTGTATTATTCAAGTTAGCAAAGGTCACATCTTGCTTCTCAAAAAATTTAAATTATTTAAACAGCTTCTGCGGAAAACCAAATTACAATTGTGCTACATTTTACAGGAATTTATTTGCGAGATTGCTTACCTTTTCGTTTTGTACGGAAACGATATGTTGACTGTTACTCTAAAGTAAAAAAGCTAACTATTTATTCCTAGTTGAAATATTTATGGATTTTTTTTTCCGTAGGTTGTCTACGTTGTACAACAAATTATTACAGATGGACGTTGAATTCAATTTACTCAAAAATTCGAGCAGCGTTTGTAACAATACTTGCCCCTATTTGTTGTTTCCTCTTAAAAAAATTTCAGTTACCAGGCTTTTGCAAATTTTATCGTACCATAGAGCTGAGTATTGTTGTCATAAGCTTATAGACTGTCTTCTGGAAACCTATAAAATGCACGAAAACTCTGAAGACGATAATAGCTCTGATAATTCAAGCTTAGAAATATACATGTAAGATTTTTTTTTTCACCTAAAAAAAATATATGATTTTCTTTTCAAGGGCATTGACTAAGCATTTATCCCCCCCTGTAGAAGTGAATAACACGAAAAAGGGTAAAGATTATATAGCGAATGTGGACGATAGTATTGGAACATTTATAAATCTGGAAGAACTAATATCTTACGAAGAAACAAATGTGATCAATTTAATCAATGCCACTCAGCAAGTGGCTCCTGCGATGCTGGGGAAAGACGGGATCAAAAAAATAGGTACCGGTATTCATTGAGGTTGTTTTTTTAATTTAATTATCTGTACCTACTTCGTGTTGTTTTCTTTTATTGGACATTTTCATTCATCTGTCCGGGATATAATGTATACATTTATAAATGGTCGACCCAAGACCCAAGCTTCCGACCTTTCAAATGATTTTGTGTAACTTAGAGACAAGGGCGCGTTCTACCATGTCGTTTTTGATCGATTAAAGTGTCTTCAGGAAAATTGAATTTATCTACCACTTTTAAATTTTGAGAATCTGGCAATCACCAACTTTAAGTGGGAATGTGCCCCCATCCAGCCATGGGCGTCGTTACGAGGTTTCTCAGGGGGGGGGCAGCACTATAATAAGATCATTTCCAATAGCACCGCTGGTAACCGCCGGAGGCGAAATTCTTTTTGGTGCCACGTCCCTTTTTTGAACATTTTAACATACTTATTTGATATCGATATATAGTTAAAAATGATGGTATTTTTTCCGCAACAAATTCACTGTCCCCATCATTTGTTTAAGCTACGTTTACACTTGGAAAGTTTACTAAGGGCCAAATTCTGGACTGACTGGTAAACGTCTGGTTGTTACCTAGCAGGTACTTTCTATGCACTAGAGAATAGAAAGTACCTGCTAGGTAACAACCAGGCACTTAACAGTTGGTCCATAATTTGGCTCTAAAGGAAAGTACTTGCCGCCACTAAACTTGTCATGTGTAAACCACAGGAAAGTGCACTTACTACTTGCCGGCAAGCGCTTTCCAAAAGTTGATGGACCGGCTAGTTTACTTGCCGCTACGCCAAATTTCTGTTTGTAGTTTTCGTGTGTAAACGGGTCACAAAAACAGGCGTCCACGTTTCTGTATGAATACCTACTACAAGGAAGCAAAACTATCACCAGTGGCAAGATATCGTAATGTGACTTCCAATTTGATTTTAGGAGAAATAAGACTTCTCATCTACGTTTCTGACTTTGTCAGTTTAGGCTCGGTTCAACTAATCTTGACAGTTCTTGAAATTTTTGGTATGATAATCTCATAAAATTCCTATAAGAATCAGGATCTTCAATTGATATCTCCTTCAAGAGTCGTTTCGACGCACCCAGAAGAGTGGGTACTTCTACGTCTGATCCAATCTCTAACCCAAACTCGTTTTTTCCTATTTTTCTTGCGTTCTAGCACGCACTACCCTACTTGGAGCCATTTTATTTTCTACTGTTTGGCAAATAAACTTGAAAATATGTAAACACAAAACAATGAATAAGTTTAGTGACGGCAAGTACTTTCCAAGTGTAAACGTAGCTTTAGGTAATTATCTATACGCCAGACTATAGAAAAGGTACCCAACAAAGGACCCCGCAGAAACCTTATGAGAACTGGCCCTCAGTGGAATCTCATGAAATTTTGCATATTGATAGTTCTTGACCTATAGATTAAAAGTGTCCGTGGGCACAAAGTTCTAAAAATTCGCCTTTTTGAGTTACAGTCGTTTGAAGTTGAGTCATATATGAAATTGCTCAAACCCTATACAGTCTAGTTTTTTTTGCTACTTCGTGAATTTTAAAACATCATAGTATCATTGTAGAATAATACGTTTTAAGTTATATGATTCCAGAAATAGCCACTTTCAAACCATAGGCGTCTTAAGAGGGGTTGAAAATAATTGTAAAATAATAGTTAGGTATACACCAAGTGAGTTAAATGAATGTTTACCCATAAGAAGAAAGTTTAACTTACGAGCCCTAGCGAGTGGGTTGATTTTTTTCGAATGGTGCATACAATGCTTTATTTTTTACTGCATATAAGTAATGTTCCTTCATCAAAAGTATCAAACATGTACCTTTACTACCTGTACTCACTTCATTATTTACCCATGATTATTTTTAAACCCCTCTTAGGACGTCTATGGTTTAAAAGTCGCCATTTCTGGAATCGAATAATTTGAAACGTATTATACTATGCATATGTCGTTCTAAAATTCACGAAGTAACCGAAAAACTGAATTGTATAAGACTCTCGCTCGTCGCCTAAAATTCCCCTCCTGCCGACGCGCTACTTCTAGCCTATGGTTTCCCTGCTCAAGAGGACCCTCGTCTATGCCTTCAGTTACCGGGTGGCTTGCATCGCGTTCTATATCGGGTGCGCCAAGCAAAAAGTGTAGTAAATTTTATTCGAAATTTTTGCGATTTGATAAAATTAAAACGCAATCATATATTTTTTAAGGTGTCAGCAATGGAAAGACATTTTAGGCTTTGTTGCAGAACATAGATAAGCAAACAAAATTAACACTCGAAGCGGCTAACAGAATTGTCAGAATATGTTCTGCACACTTTAATGAAAACTCATTCACTTTGTCCGAAAATAGTTATTTACCTAACAAGTGCGGAAACTTATACTTTTCTGCGCGCAGCGGCAAGCCGTTAGTGCGGAAAAGATACTTTACGCTCGTGTTAGGTACAATATTTCCCCTACGAGCGTGCGGAAATTGACATATTGTTTTTTTATTTGTTTTTGGATCTACTGATCCTAAAAGAAATGGTCAAAAATTTGATTTTTTAGGAATTAGAAGAAGTATAGAATTTTTAAAACGTATGTCGCTTCTTGAACACACAAATAAAAATAATTTCCTATTTGTACATGAAATCGATTGCTAATACGTCAATTATTGACGTATTAGCAATCGAAGTTCGTTTTTCTTGGTAATATTTTATTTCATCTAATTCGTGATTGATAAATAAGGATGGAATTATTCTAATGGGTATCAAAAATACTATTTAATTAATTATTTATTATTTACCTAACAAATGCGGAAAATGATACTTTATCGCACGCAAGCGCAGTTTGGTCAAGCCGTTAAGGGTGGTGAAGGCACTTTCCGCATGTGTTAGGCACACAACATTTTACCTATGAGCATCTACATCTCCAAGAAAAGGCAGTAATAAAATTAATTAACGATTCAGATTAATAATTAATGAAATTAGATTAAATTTAAAAATGATCAAAAATCCCTTTCCTAGAAGAGAAGGGATTTTTGATTAAAAATATCAAAATCTACTTTACCGCACTCTATGCGGTAAAGTAACTTTACCTACGAGCGTGCGGTAAAGTGCACTTTACCGCACTTATTTGCAAATGGAAAGTGGCACTTTACCGCACACTATGCGGTGAAGTTACTTTACCGCATAGTGTGCGGTAAAGTTAACTTTACAGCATAGTATGCGGTAAAATGAACTGAAAAGTGTGCGGTAAAGTTAACTTTACCGTATAGTATGCGGTAAAGTAGATTTTGGTATTTATGATTAAAAATCCTTTCTTTTTCAGGAAATGGATTTTTGATCATTTCTAAAATCTAATCTAATTTCATTAAGTAATCTGATTCATTAATTAATTTTATTAATGCCATTTTTTGGAGATGTAGATGCTCATAGGTAAAATTTTGTACCTAACATATGCGGAAAGTGCCTTTACCGCCCTTAACGGCTGCCATTGCGTGCGGTAAAGTATCACTTTCCGCATTTGTTAGGTAAATAACTATTATCTCACACTTTGCAGTCTACTTTACCACACACTATGCGGTGAAGTTAACTTTACCGTACACTATATGGTAAAGTAACTCAACCGCATAGTGTGCGGTAAAGTGCTACTTTCCATTTGTGAATCGGTGCGGTAAAGTGCACTTTCCACATGTTCGTAGGTAAAACTCATTGAAGATGTCGATATTGGTCAGTACAAAAAGTTAATATCTTTCTTGAAGAGAAAGAACGGAGGAACGTAATTTCGAAAAAAAAAATGTTTTTCAGAAGCATGACATAAGGAGAAAAATTGAAAAAAAAATCTGTGTGGAAAAACTTTTTTCTACTTCCGTGCGCAAATTAATCACTTTGCACATTCATTTGCGTGCGCAAAGTTGAACTTTGCGCACGGAAACTCTTTGCGCACTCATTTTTGTTACGCATAATTACCATAGTTATGCTTGATTTTTCAATGTTCTGATGGTTTCTGAATAAACTAATACTAAAAATGAAGGGTTTTAGTTAAAATTAGCGCTTAGTTAATATGATGTTTCCTATCCAAGGTGTCCAAATTGGACCAGCCTGGTACTGCTAGAATTTGTAGAATTTTTGATATTTGAGAGACTGTCATTAAAATATTCTAGCTGGTATTCTAGAAATTCCAGAAAATGTTAAAAGATTTTTGGGGATTCAATTCAAAAGACATTCTGAGGAATTTCAATAGATTTTAAACGATTTTTGAAGATTTTGACTTGATTGATTTTTCTAATATTTTAACAATTCAAAGTCTACTTTTTTGAGATACTCGTAGAAAAAATATAGTTCCTAACACTTGCGCAAAGTGTCTTTCCCGCACTCAAAGCCTATCCGAACTCCGCTTCGCGTCGTTCGTCTAACTGCTTTTTCGTGCGGGAAAGTATCACTTTGCGCACCTGTTAGGAAAATAACTATTCTCGCGCACGCCCGTCTGTTTTTTTTTCACGCACACTGTGCGGAAAAGTGATACTTTCCGCACGCAAATCGTTGCTTGAAAACGCGTTTTCTGCACGCTTGTAGGAAAACCTTCATTAAAAACTGCTATTCCATCAAAGTTACTACCAGAACGTGATGTTAAGTAACACTTACTGCTGATTTTATAATATGAAATTAATTGAGTAACAATAATTATTACGATTATCCGTCAATTAATTTAATGCTTATCGCTAAGCAGAAAAAGTTTTTCCATAATTTTTTAAAACCAAAAAATTATTAACGTAAATATTCTTAAAAGACATTCTTTTTCAAACTCCCCCTGTAAAAACATTACCAAGTACAATCGGGACCAGCGCCCTCGTATTTGCTTCTTATCTACAAATCGGCGCGTGCTGACATGAGGTTCGTTCCAACCCAGCCAAAAACCGTTCAATGTACGGTCACGGTCATGCGCCATAGGTTAAAGGCGTTCCAACCGAGAGATGATCGTTTACCGTACAGTTTCGTTGGCGTTCCAACCAAACCTGGGATCGTTCGAG